AGACCAAGACCGAGACCAAGACCAAGACCTAATAAATCTTCTCAAGACCAAGACCAAGACTTGACGTTCAAGACCAAGACCAAGACTCTCTCTCAAAACTCTCGTCTTGGTCTTGGTCTTGGTCTTGAAAAGAAAAATCGACTCAATTATTGACATTGCCCATTGCCTGGTAAAATATACAAATACCAAAAAGCTAGGGAATGTGCTGAGTGCACTCACCAGGTAAGATTTACTTTTAAATAACCGCGTGAAATCGGAGGAGTCAAAGTGCATTTTTGTTTGTAACTGGGAATTTCCAAAGATAGTTAATAATTAGGTACACAAACCCCACATCTCACCCAAACTAACCCAAATCTAATTATTATGAATAGTCCAATAAAATTCAAATGAGCTAGGTAGGTATGTGACTATGTGAGGGTTCTCGAAAATCTTTGTCTGACCTGAATGCTCAGGTTGGTAAGGTAGGTTTATTTTTATGGCTCAAATGGAAATTTATTTTTTTCCTCTTTCGTTCCTCTGTGTTGTGGAATGCTTTTTGGGGTATTTTTTGACATGAAACACTCTTGCTGGTAAAAATAGCCTGATGTGAAGAAGACCAAATCCATGGTCGAAACGTCGGCATAATTTTTTCAGAAAGGGAGTTCATTTTTTATTTCTGAAGTCCTAAACCTACTCTGTCGTTATATGTTATGTATATTTTGAAAATTTGATATACATTTTTTTCAAGACTATCAAGACACCAAGACCAAGACTATAAAGACCAAGACCAAGACTGAGCCAGTCTTGTCTTGGTCTTGAAACATCAAGACCAAGACAGCATTTATTTTTCGAGGCCAAGACCAAGACTGGCGACTGGCCAGTCTTGGTCTTGCGAAGCCCTACTCGTATAGCCATAGGAACATGTGCATTGTCCAATAGCTCGGGAAGTACTCGTCACAGAAAATGTGAGTAGATGTTACCGTTTATCCGAGGTGAAAGCAGGTACGGACCAAGTGAAGAGTCGCCAATAATACCGCTCCATTAATGGCAAATTGGTTTTGATGAGCTCTCATCCAGCCGCGCAATACCTGTATTTTCCAAAACGCTAAACGCTTTGACAAGGTCTATAAATGTCATATACCACCACTGTTTTTTTATAAATCTGGTCCTTCTCTATAGTTCATCCGTTGCATGAAGATAGGTTCGTTTCTTGCGAGCTGAATTTGGGGCGTTTTGCCAGATATTGTAGGCTTTCCTCTTCTGATCGATGACGTTCTGCATTGCTTTATTATTCTCATCAAACCAATACTGATGTCTCCTTGTGATGAAGCCCGTTGATTCTTCGCAAGCTGTCTGCATAGATGTTCTAAAGCATTCGCCAGTGCTCTTCGATATCGTCAGGATATTCAGCAGAAGGTTTCTCGTTCAGTAGGCACTGGAAGTTAGTCGTATCGAAGGCGTTAGTAATTCGTTCACGGAACCACTTCTAAACTGTTTCAAAAGCTTCATGTCTTGTAGATATACACATGAAAATGTCTACTACCAACGCTACTTATTTCCACAGAGCAAAAAATGTTTTTAAGTGAATTGACCGCATTTCTTAATCGAGATGCAGTTCAGAAAACATATTTGATTTTTTTGCACAAAATAAAATTAGAAGTCATTCTATCCCGGATAACTTCCCTCACATCCGCAGGTGCCGCGGGAATCAGCTATGAAATCTGAGAAATTATTCAAGGTAATGAAAGAAATAGAAGCCTTCTACCCAATTTTCAATGACCTCTCAGACCTTAACGTCCTTACACCTGCTTACTTCCATATAATTGGAGCACCACTCGCATGACTTTCATAGAAAGATTGATGTGATGTGAAGTAAACATTGGAATATCAAACAGATTGATTGATCATTCAAGTTGCTGGCACAGGTGGTCTAAAGATTTTCTCTCCCAGCTGCAGCATTAATACGACGTCAATCTTAATGTAGAATGTGTAGCGTCTTAGGCTCGTGGTAACAGAAATAGTAGTGGTCCTAAGGTACCTACTTCCTTGTGGAACCCGTTATTTACAATTTTCAAAGCCGCTATTTTATTAACACGTGTTATATAAGTAGTTACAGAGCCATGCCAAAGATAGGCCGTATTTTTCTACTTTTTCAACAATTTATCCCTATCGATCGTCTCAGTTAGGTACCTTTATTTTGCTTGTAATATTCATAAATCAAAGTTGGTCCCTTTGATTTTATTGCCTCAGATACTCTACCGTTCCACCACTCTTTGTCTGGCTTTGATTACTATATTTCTTTTCTAGGTGCAACTTGATTAAGAACACTTAAGTAATATGGTCGAAAAAAATGCGTGTATTTGTCGTCCACACCTGGATTCAAAATACTACCACTGTACCAAAGGAAATTTCTGATTCAATTAACCAAAGTCTATTTTACCACGGAAAATACCGCCTGTCACTTTTTCATCACTATTCACTACCCTGGTGCACATGCCGACCGATTTTTACTATACCGACACGATCTGTACAGAGTGAAAGATGGGACAAAGAAGGTTTGTTGCCAAAACAGCAGATTCCTGAGTTTTTTCGTAGATTATTTAAATAATGTTACGAAATTGCATAAAGAGCCCGGCCAGATTCTAAGAATCGAGCTGTTTGCGTCTAGCGCGACTATTCGAGGAATTTTATTTTACTAGACACTTCTAGCACGTTAATCCCCATGATACCCTATATTTGGGTTTCAGAGCTAGTGGTGAACCAGGTTCTGAAACCTGTACCTATGTAGGGTGTGTCACCGTGCGCGTGCACTTTGAAGCCTGTGACCCGGCTCTTGGCCTTCAAATAACATTGCAATATATGGAGTTTTTGTCAGAGGGGCCTGGGGGACCCTACTAACGTATGAGCCTAGGAGTTTTTGCCATTTTTGTTTTTTGTAGAACCACATTTTATTGATTGTAAGAAAAGGCATGGATTACCAAAATAAATATATTAATCTATGATAAACCAAAATAATGTAGGTATAAACTTACTCTAGATATTTGTGACAGTCAAAAAAACAGGACAGACAATTAAAAAATGTACACTGTATGCAAGAAAATCTTGACGTTAGTCCTTTGCTTTAAGCTACTTTTCTGCCTTGTTCAGCTCTTAATTTTTTGTAGCAGGACACACATTTTCTACGATCTAATATTCATGCACGTAGTAAACAAGCTTAGGCTTGTATCTTTGAAAACCTCTAGTTGGGTTTCGGGCGCCCACCTAGAAAGGGCTCGGAAACCCAAAAGCTAAAAGCATTCCCTATACCTAACTTGATTCGTTATGGAGTTATCCATAGAATCATAGAAAAGTCCACTTTTTCTGACTAGGCAGTCAAAATACACATTTTACTCCTGGTTAAATGTAATTCGAAGAAAAAATACTATTTGCTGTTGTTGTTTTTGACATCAAGGAACGGGTGGACAAGTTACGGGATTTCTTGATTTTTATGAATAACTCGATAACGAATCAAGTTAGGTAGGTACCTATATGGAATCCAAGTAACGGGGAGTAAAATACAATTTTCTTGCAAATGGTTCCAAAAAAACATAATATTGTGGTATTAGATGGGCGCTCTAATGACACAGCTAAATTTGGTTTATTAGAACGGTTTTCGAGAAACCTTGTTTTTCCAAAACCAGCTGCAATTTAACATGACCATTAATGTCAAAATCTATGAAAGATAAGTTGACAAAACTTGGATGGTTCAAACTCGAAATTGCAAAGCCAACCGAACTATGGTGATACGTGATAAAGGATAAAGATGCGAGTTTCTATTTGAAATAAGAAAGTTAGTGCTTATTTTGAACGATTGATTATGGCTACAAACTGAATTTGAAGTTTCTAATCCCTGTGTGCAATCTCAAAAACTTCTCATGTACGGGCCACGTAAATCACGGTAAATCACCCTGTATATTCGTTTCACGGAGAGTATGGGAGAATGGAGAATGGCCAATTATTCACGAGCTTATCAGACAATATACCAGATCAGGTTGGAGATGCAGAAGGTAATAAAATGTGTATATATTGGAAGACAAAATGCCCTGGAAAATAGGACGTGCTGAAACCATACTGGAAACAAAATCAGGAGCTAACATTATTACCTAATTCGATAAATAATTGACTAATTTTCGACTGTGACAAAAACAGAAAAGATAGTAATATGATAACTGATTATTGATAACTGTCAAAAAATAAATTTACCTACAATTTCATACGAAAAATTTCAATAGGTAAACAAAAATATTCCTAAATCGAATGGGTCTTCTAACAGATTATTATTTTTTGAGAAATTCAATTACGCAACCAAAGTTTTGAAGCTCGAAATACAGATGGGCCCACAAATAATGTCTTACGGGGGTCCTCCGCCTAAAATCGCAGCATGATCAAATTATCCATGTTATAAAACTGTGTACCAAACATAGTGATTCTCGTACAGCAGGGTCCCAATAATTGAAAAATAAAAAAATACAGGTCACCTATTTTTTTTTTTTTCAAGAATCTTTGAACAAATTTTGTAACATTTTTTTCCGGACGCCTTGTATCATACACATATGCGAGCATCCACCATTATATGGACAAGTTGGGTTAATCATCAGACGGGACCACAGGCACCAGAGCAGAGGGAATGAGAGATTTGTGAACTTTAGAATAGAAATACTCTCATTTTGAATCCAAAAATACTTAAAACTAAATAAGTAACGTAAAAAAAACATAAATGACATTGAACCTGACATTATAGGCATTTTCTACAGCAAAGCAGTTGAAATGGCCCATAACAAATCAGAAACGAATACGATTACGCTGGCCAAAACAATGGTACCTCTATCGACAGCTTACGTCTCACTATTTTCTTTTTGTCAGCCTGCTTGTCGAATTCTTCAACACACCCGACCCGAGCAAGATTGTGTTCATTTTCCTACTTTCCAATTTCAAAAAACAATAATCAGAAAATACATATGTAAAAAACAATACTTTTTGTATAAGATTAGAGATTTTATTATTTTTTTTACATAATTTTACATACTTACAAAAATAGGCTAGCTCAACCCTCAAAAAGGTAAACAAGGAAATGAAAATATACCAAAATCACAGCTGTCAAAAACAATTATTCTGATCATCATCATTGGGATTATAATCTGGATTCTGATTATCTAATCTCACATGGAAATTGACAATATATTCTGAATTGGTTCTCTGTACAGATACCGCAAACGGATCAGTTGGATGAAATGTAAACGCGACCAATCGCCGCGCTGTTGTCACCAAATGTTTATGATTATCGACGTAGAGCCGGAATTTTAAATAGCCAGACTCTCTGGCATTGAATCTGGAAAGATTTATTCAATTACAAAATGTGTTATTTAGAGGACGAAGAAAACTTACCTGATAGGATGTTCTCCACAAGGTTTAGGCCTCTCCATAACCGAAATCCACTTATCATCATAACTAAACAAAGAATAATCGAGATAGGGCGATGTCGTATATGATTGGGCACTTATGGGCAAATGAGCCAAGATTCTACGAATAGCTTCAGCTCTACCGCCGAATTTTGCTATCATAATTGTGTGTTTGTACCTGAAACTGAATCTTTAGTCCAATGCTAAATGTACAGTGAGATGGCCACTTTTCAAAGGCCGCGTACCGAGGCGGAAACCACCTTAGAATTTTGGTGTACAAACTGATAGAATTTTTTAGAATTTCTTAGAATTTTTTAGAATTATCAGTATTTTTTAGCATTTTTTAGTATTTTCTAGCATTTTCTAGAATTATTTAGAATTTTTTAGTATTGTTTAGAATTGAATTAGAATTTTTTAGAAATAATTTAGAATTTTCACCTATTGCGCATGCTTAAGAGCCCGCGCACTCTGTTGGGATTTTTGGAAATTTTTCTGAATTTTTAGAATTTTTCGAAAATTAGCATTTTTCAAAATTATAGAATTATTATTTTTGGTGTAAAAAAATAGGTAGGTGGGTTCCCCCGAGCGGGAAACCTTCTTAGAATTTTGGTGTACAGGGTGATCTATTATAAATGTCACCCCCTTCTAACTTTTTCATTTGACATTTTTGACAAAAGTGTCAAATACAAAAGTTTCAATAAATTGTCGAAAGTTTTTAACCAAGTCAGTTTTAGACATACAGGGTGTGTCAAAAAAGTGTAGCACTGTGAAGTTATATTTTTTTAAATGGAACACCCTGCATATTGTGGGATATACGATTTGATGTCAATCTTCGATATTTATAAGGAAAAACATGAAAACTCCTTTCAAGGTTTCATGTTGAAAAAAGAAAAATTATACCATTTAAGCTTTAGAGAATTTTTTTTATGAACAGTTTATTGTTCAAATTTTATTCATTAATATACAAGGTGAAATATTATATTATAATAAATCCAGTTATTATTATTATTTTTGAAAAAATAACATGAAAGAACTAGCAAGGGATTTTCGCGGTTTTCCCTATAATAGTATTTTTTAGCAATTTCTAGAATTATTCAGTATTTTTTAGAATTGAACTAGAGTTTTTTAGAAATAATTTAGAATTTTTATCTATTGCGCATGCTCAAGAGCCTGCCCAATTTGTTGGGATTTTTTAGAATTTTTTAGAATTTTTTAGAATTTTTAGAATTTTTTGGGACAATAATAACATGAAAATTAGCATTTTTCAGAATTTTAGAATTTTTGGTGATTTTAGAATTTTTGGTGTACAAAATTAGGTAGGTGGTTTCCCCCTCGCCGCGTACTGTTTCCAAACTTAAAAACTGGAGCGGTTAACACATCAATGTCAGCTCGTGCTAAGAAAAAGTTTGGCCTCTAACAGATAACAAATGGAAATTGACTTTTGGACAAGTGAATTGAAAAGTGGCCAATAAAATCAGTTTTGATTGGTAGACAAGAATCAACCAATCAAACTTGTTTACCTTGAATGATGTAGCTTCGCATAAATATTATTAGAAGGATTACAAGTAAATTGTGTGTCGCTATGCAAACAAGCGTTCCTGAAAGAGTCGCTAAAGTCCTCAAAGAGCTTTACGAGCTCCGTTGAACTGTTTTCATAGACAGCTACAACTCTACTGTCAATAATGTTGTAAACAACAAAAAATTGTGGCTCGCTACTATTCGAGTCAGTTTGTTTTAAAGTGACTACCTCCTCACTGGCATATTTAATCAACAGATGGTTTTCGTCCAATAGTTGCATCTTCCACATTTTCAACGAATTGAAGTTATCAAAATAATGAAAAAACTTCCTTAATTCCGATGGATCTCTGGTCTGTGAACTGATATTTTTGGCCCTTTTAAATAAAAATGCTAACAATCGATGTTTTAATGAATTGATACAAACATCCTTAAAAGCCCTCTCACTGGGATAAACCAAATTGAACAAATACGAATCATCTTCATAGCAAAAGCGACCAATTTTTCTCACATCCACAAACATGCCGTCCAGTATTTGGAATATGTGGATTATTTGGTGTTGCACTGACAGCACTGCCAAAGTGTCTTTGTATAAATAAAGGCCTTGATTGTGTGATAAAAAGATTTTGTCTACTTTAAACTGGCGAGTGTCGCAGAGTTTGCCTAAATGTAGATCAACTAAATTTAGAGTGTAGTCTTCTAGTGGGGACCTAGAATAAAATTTGATTTCAGTAGCGTTCTTTAGTTTCCTGAGTTGGTGATATTCTCACCTCATTGTAGGTGTTACAGACTCATTATTAGTATAAATTTCATAAAAATGTGGTCTGATTTCTTCAGGAATATAGGAGGCTGAACCTACTATCACATAACGGCCATCATCACTAAATAGGCTGCACTCCCTGTTCAATTGTTCACTGGCAGTGATGTTTATAGAGTGTTTCAACTGAAAATGCGAAAAAAGTATGCGTTGAAATTCACCTACTTAACAAAAGATGACGACCTTTTTTAATTAACCTAAGCTACTTTAGTTGCTAAGCTTTAGTCATGCAATGAATGCGAATATTCTGTGAATATTACGATTTGATGATCACTAATTTTACAATTATCGTGATTGTTGGTTGTATTGTACTTAGTGTACTTTAGATCGTTGATTTTTTTTTTTTAATTTTTGAATACCTATATGAATAAATAGATAAACAAAGACAATATGTTCTCTTTCTATTAATATTTCCTACACCCTAACTTTTTTCAATTAAAAATTCCCGCTACACATTTTTGCATTCCCAAACTAATTTCGGTAATTTTTGGGCTCTCGGGAACGGGCTATAAGGCGTTTTCTGATCAAGTTCATTTTTGGTACACATATATAGGACGTCAAAAGAAATTTTTCCAAAAAAAAATTGACCTTGACTGTGACCTTGACCATCAAATTCACGTAAATGGCAGTTTAACGTGCTGAAAACTTGTATAGTGTTGAAAGGCATCTCAAGTAACCTATATACCGAGTGTTAGCCTTCAAGGTCATACACATTCAGAGATACGGCAACTCCGCATTTTCAGTTTGGGCTCTCGGGAACAGGGTAGAAGGCGTAGTCCGATTGAATTCATTTTTGGTATACATATTTAGGCCGTAAAAGGTAACAGTTCAGTAAAGGTCCTCATGCTTCTCCATTATAGATAGTTTAGTTTGATCCCAAAATATTGTTTTATGATCGAAAATGTTGGCGCAAATAACTATAAATTGGATTTTATAAATATTGAATGAATCCTCTTCTCGACCTTTGACACAGATCAATATATAATATCTATTCTTATCAGCTTAATATCACAATCGCTCTGTTTAGCAGATAAAAATTTAATAAACGTAAAAAGCGTCATGTGGTAGATATTCGAATGAAGAGAAGAGCTAAGTGCTCAAACCATTTTTTGAAAAAAACATTATCGAGTAATGATAAAGCGTATAATATCTACTGAACTTTTGAAATTGGTACACTTTAACCGACAATAACTGTGCTATATCGAAACTGATCAAAAATATGCAAACTAGCCCGAACTTCATCTTCATAGAATAGAGCAATGGGCAAAAACCTGGAGCATGAAACTAAACGAAGAGAAGTGCACAGTACTCAGTATTGGAATAAACAACACAATTATTATATACCCTATTCACTAAATGGTACCAATCTAAATAACGTCGATCAACAGAGTGATTTAGGCCTCATCATCAGCACAGACCTCAAATGGGAACCGCACATTCATAGGATAGTGAAAAAAGCAAACTCGTTCATTTATTGCATCCAAAAAGCATTTTCAGACCACTCAATGGACACCATATTGAAACTATATAAAACTTATATTAAGCCAAAACTAGAATATGGCGAAACAATATGGAACCCTTACTTTGTAAAGGACATCGAGCTATTAGAAAAAGTTCAAAGACGTGTAACAAGAATACCACCAGAATTATCACAGTTAGACTATACTACAAGACTACAAAGACTTAAATTGACAACTCTACGAGAAAGGCGTTTAAGAGGAGATCTTATTGAGACCTACAAAATTTTAAAACCATATTATAATGCTACTCTTAATATCTTCCATGCGAATGCAAACATACACCTTCGAGGACACAGCAAAAAACTGGAAAAAGAGAAGAACGCAAAACTACCCCGTAAAAACTTTTTGACAAATAGAATTGTCTATCATTGGAATGCATTATCGGAAAACACTGTGAGCGCTCCAAGTATTAACTCATTCAAAAACAGACTAGATAATCAACGGGAAGTGCTGACTAGTGTGAACATTCACTTCGGACTGTAAATGAACAAGCTGAATATTTTGAAAAGCCAAAAAGGAACCACGGAAATTATGACAACAGTTTCATCGGTCATAACCGTTTACTGTTGTAACTAATAATAATAGTAATAACTTACCCGTCTTTGTACTGCGTGCTAGTCCCCGTAAACCTATCTAATCGAGAATTACAAAATACTGCAAAACAACTCAAATTAACCCATTCTTGAAATGCATGCTAGTATCCTTGAACATTTTTATTTTATCTAGCTTGTCGCGCTTGGTTGTCGTTGTTAATCAGTACACTGTATCCAGTTTTAGATAAGTAATTAATATTCAAAATCATGATGTTTCCTATTAAAAGTGTCCAAATTGGCCCACCCTGTACATAATTTCAGCACGATAAATAGATATTTATGTGAATTTCACTGGTGAAGGTCACGGTCAAGTTCACGGCCAACGGCCAAGGTCAATTTTTTTTGGGGAAATTTCTTTCAGCGGCCTTTATATGTATACCAAAAATGAACTCGATTGGACTACGCCTTCTAGCCCATTCCCGAGAGCCCAAACTGAGAATGCGGAGTTGCTGTATCTCTGAATATGTATGACCTTGAAGGCTAAAACTCGGTGTGTGGGTTATTTATGATGTTCTTCGGCGCTATACATAATTTCAGCACGATAAATTGATATTTATGTGAATTTCACTGGTCAAGGTCACGGTCAAGGTCGCGGCTAAGGTCAATTTTTTCTTGAAAAATTTCTTTCAGCGGCCTTTATATGTATACCAAAAATGAACTCAATCGGGGTATGCGTTCTACCCTGTTCCCGAGAGCCCTAATCATACCCTAATTTCCTGTGTCAAGGCTACAGATTATACTGTTTGTTTCTTCCTCTATTGCTACAATTAATTCACTACTTGGAACCTAGGAATAATGTTTCTTTCCCAAGAAATTCAGTACTGAAAATCTACAATGCTATTGAGAAACTAAAATAAATGACATACATTGTGATAATAGAAAAATAAAATATTATGGTTGAGGTAAAAAATGTGTGTAAATAAGATGAGTACTCCGCCTTAAATAAGGCTTACCTTGAAAAATCTACTAAATATGTTCCTCTTGATCATCTCCTGTAGCTTATTATCCTTTTGTATTCCATTGCCAATATTCTGTAATAAATCCGCTGCAGCTGCTGGTCCCTTATACCAGTACACTTCCAATGAGCTTTGATCTGAAGAAAATGCTATAGCGTTCTTGCCATCAGGGCTGAATTTCCTTAGGAAACACGGCGGCTTGTCCACGTTTATGATCGTGAAATTGGGAAAGATGTTTTGGTAAAATTGGCGAATTGTGTGCAGTTGAGTGCCAGGAGCAGAACAATGTGTTTGCCTGTTTAGAAGGCGAATTACTATGTTCTCAGGGCGTCGTTTCTTCCTAGGGAATTTCATTATGGATTTTTGAGGAGGATTCCTTGGATGATTCATTGTGTTTATTTTTCAAATAAATAAAATTGTATATTCAAAATCAAAATGATAAACGTACAACTAACCAGAGAAAAGACTACTAGGTAAACTGTCCTAAACTAATAAATTAAAGGCAGAAGTCGAAAATTATAAACATAAACAGCAAACAGCTGATTTCTTTGAAGGTTATGGAGGCTTTCAAGCGATTGACCGGTAAAGTAAATACCGCAGTATTTATTGCCCTTGGTAGTCCTTGGTCACCAAGGATAATACAAACTACTAGATAGGATTGCTTATCGGCCTCGTTTTTGGGAATCACGGCCATATTGTATAGCACCAAGTCATCAACTAGGTACTGTCGTAGCTTAGAATATACATTTATGATGGAAAATATTATTTACTTTCGATTAACATAATAGGCAAAGAGGAAGATGCAAACGAGACTTAGAAAAGCGTGGTTTTAGAGTGTTAAAATACTAAAACCAAGTATGCATAAAGCAAAAGCCCGCGGAATCATAACCTGTGGTGGAAACACCCTACGTCAAGGCGAGAAACGACACGCTGTCTACGTCATCACTGGTTCTTTGCTGTGGTGGGGGGCTTGAGATATGATCTACACAGGCCTTATGAGGATAAGCTATCCTGTAGTGGTAGTGTGTATTATCCTTGCTTCGTCACAGCCCAGCCCGTTGACATCCGTTTGACAGTTTATGGTCAAAACTCTTCTAAAACGTTTGAACCCTGAGCCGAGTTCAGAAATAACGCACAGGGTGCGAGTGCGATTTTATGGGTGTGCCTGAATTGACAATTGGCCATTGGGCCCATAGTACCGTCTAGCATTTTTGAACAGCTAGGGCGTCGCACCGGTGTCACAATCACACTGGGTGTGTCATTCCTGAACTGGCCCCTGTTTGGTTATCATTTTGGTTTTGTCGATGCGTCAATTGTGACATACTCCCCTAACTCCCCCCACGATTAAATTCTACTCGAGGATCAAGAACACTTATGGCGATTTCCATTTGTCAATCAGTGCGCACTGAGTGTATCCGCATCTTTTTCTAAAAGCATGTAACATGTAAGGATAGGGATACATTTTTTTTGCACTGGTTCGACAAATGGAATTCGCTGTTATAGTCCAGGAGGTGGCGTCGAAATTATGCAAGAGTTTTCTGAAGGCTGATATTTTCAGAACAGGTCGTACTTTAGTGATGGAAGGCTAGTGTACAGTCAGCACTCACAGTTCCTGGGGTGCGATTTTCGAAACCATTCGAGTACATTTCGTACACGAAATTTGACTGACAGCAATGTAAATTGAATGGGGCGCATTCGAAATCGTATCAAATTTCGTATACGAAAATATTCGAAAATAGGACCCCTGGACAGCTGGCGTTGAGACGCGCGCAAAGTTGTAATTTTAAGAAGCATCTTAACTGTTTTCTCAAAGCTCAAAATTAATACAAACTTTGCACATAATCTGTTTGAAGGTCACAGATAACGTATGTAGATCGACAGACGTCTAGGTCGCTGCAAAAAGGGTGTCAGACGTCCTCAAAGTTTTTATTTTATGGCATTTTCTTCGGTGTCCTGTCAAAATATATTTTTGCAGGTATTTGACAATTATATTTGAAGGGACACCGAAGAAAATGCGAAAATATAAAAACTTTGAGGGCGTCTGAGTCGTCCGACACCAGTGACACCCTTTTTGCAGCGACATAGATACGTTATCTGTTCAAACAGATAATGTGCAAAATTTCTATACATTTTGAGTTTTGCGAAAACAGTTTAGATACTTCTCAAAATTACAACTTCACCTGCGTCGCAGCGCCAGCTGTCCCGAAGGTGTGAGTACTGACTGTACACTAACCTTCCATCATTAAAGTACCTACGACCTATTTTGAAAATGTCAGCCTTTAGAAAACTCTTGCATTTTTTCGACGCCAGCTCCCCAACTATAATTTCTTCTGTGAGAACAGACCGAAAATCACCTTTTCTACATTTAAAATCGAAAGAATTAACTCACTAGCATAGCCTGAATCGCGAGCATTCCATCGAGGTCTGTGGGGGACGTCATCATTATAAGGTGCTGATAGTGACGTCACTCGCAGGCCCAAAATTTGATGGGATGATGGTTTGAATCGCGCCTAAAGCGCAATTCATATACTATACGTACCGGCACCGTACCGTCAAATATTCTCCTCGAGAAATCGTGACTGCTCGGACGGTAGCGTGACGCTGCCGGTGAAGGTGTAATGTGGATACGACCATTAATGCTTTCAAATGTAAAAATATTTGACGTGTCATTGACGGTACGGTGCTGTAACATATATTATAAAGCGCGATTCATACTATATGTACCGGCGCCGTACCGTCAACGACACGTCAAATATTCTCCTCGAGAAATCGTGAGAAGTTCTGCGTTAACGTAAACGTAGATTTACCTATGTAGATACGTACGAGACGCGTAAGCTACCACAGTTCAAACAAACATTAAAATACGTGATGGGAAACGTATCTCTGCGGCTTCACAGAGTGTTTGTTGCAGCTGCAGCAAGTTAAGTTAGCCCCCCATAACTGAATAATAACTTTTTTGGTAAAAATCAATTGTGCTAGAAGTGTGGTGTGAATTGTGCTGTCAAAGGTCTTTTTCCACAGAAATCACAAACCAGGGTCACGTCACGTATACGCTGGAAATTTTAACGGTTACAAAAACGTCGCCGTGTCGTGACATAAGAATCGTTCGATTTAAAAAATGCCTCGACCATAAACGCGCGTTGCTCGTTCGACTGCTGCTCTATATTCACTGATAATACGCACGCACGCAGTCGCCGCAAATTGCCAGCGCTAACCCCCCCAGAAATATTGAGTTGGATGTAGGGCGCATAAACAGATTCTGGTTGTTGGTTGTATTTGATTTTAAAACATCGGTCATCGGAAAAGTTTACAATAAATTTAATTTCTTAAAAAGAAAACGGCGGCGTCTATTTTTTTTTGACGCCGAGGGACATTCCCCTCCCGTGCCCTCCACCGGTCACCACACCATACCGTCAACAAAATGGATTTCACTGATAAAGAATTGTATGGTGTAGAGGTCTTCGCATTTTCTAACTTCTATAAGAAGTTCGTTGAAATCCAACGACTCATCATTTTCAAAAAAATAAATATAATTTATATGTATATAAATTATTTAAAAACGAAAAATAATAGACAAGGCCTAAGTTAAAAAGAAACTATTGTCCTGTATGCGCATATGCCGCCTATTATAATTTAAAAAAAAAAAACAAAAATTCAAAAGACATGTAAATTTTTCACGATTTTCCCAGCAATACCCTTTAAATAAAATATTAAAATTTTTATTTCCCTCGGCCCCTTTAATAGGGACGGACGGAATAAAGTTGATTTGTAGGGTACAACCTAGGCTTATTCAAAATTATTTCAACAATGTAGTTCTGGACTATTTTCAACTGACTTAGGTTTGTACTATACCTTCATTCCAAATGCTATATTGTATCCTCTAAAATAACGTATTTTCACTTACCTACTTATATGTTCCATTGATTCATTTACACTTAGTTCAATTTCAATTTCTGACGAAGATACAAGGCGAAACATGCCAAATTAAAATCAAAATAAATTTGTGGAATATACAAGTTATGACAACTTACTTTGTCCTGTTAGAAATGAATGAGGAAATGGATATCCACCATGGAAATGACAACTCCATTTAAGTGCTGAAGAATCTTCACTAGCAAATTTGAACTTTTTCAGTTAATTGAACAGTTCACACGGCCAACAAACAACTCAACAAAAAAGAATTAAACCATTTAGTACCCCATACACATAAAAAAACTGATGATTCTATGTATGCTGTTTGGATAGACTTGGAAATGGAGAATGACTAACCCTGTCGGACAACAATACTGAGGTCCAACCCTCACAAGAGTCTAACAACTCAACTAGCAAATTGGAGAAGCCGATGTTAGCTATTATATTAACGAGGTCAGACCCAGGCTGCAAATAGGTGATGTGATTATTGAAACAAGAAAACTAAATCTAACAAATTTTTTATATTCACATTAAACTCTGATTTTAACAATAAAAATAAAATATAAAAGTAAAACGATTCAGACCAGTTTATCAATAATAAATGCGAGTTGAATTTTGAAATAGCGACCAACTTTGTCATTGCTGATAGCTATATTAACTCGTCAAAATCTGGTATTGATAAGGTGGACATCAGAATCTTAGAACTCTATTTTTAAAAAAACCCATAAGCATTTCTTTGTTTTATCCAAGTTGGGTTGCTTTGAAAAACAACCAAAATAGGAGTGGAAATGCACCCGAGCAATTTTTATCTGAACAATTGAAGGAGACCGAGCAAATTTTTGATCGTTCACAGGTAACTTTTGTCGATAATGGATGTACTTAGAATCCAAGAAAAGTCTACGAAGATTTTGATAAATAAGAAAAGCATTCCGGCTGTTATAACTGAGTTAACAGGGCTCCGGCGCATTTCAAGAATAAATACTTCCAATAAGGGTGATATTTGAATCAACTTTAGAGCCAAATTATGTAAACCAAAAATTCGCTTGCTGCAGTTTAATTGTCCAGCAGTTTATATTTTTTTAACAACTAAATAATTATAGAGTAGGGTCGCGATAATGTGAACACTTATTAATATAAACCACTCGGTAATGTGAACAAGATTTTTTTTACATGATCACCTTATAACATGACATTATAAACTTAAGGCAACTGTGGCAAATCTATCGGAAAAAAAATTTCAGTCAAAAATATGTAACAGCATTTTTTCAGACTCTTAAGTCAATATGTATATATTGAGGAAAGTATAAGTATATAATATTATTATTGTTCAAATGTATAATAATATACAGAAAAAAACAGCTCCATACATCGGTTTATTTTTTCTAACCTTCGGTGAACACTCCCAATACCTCAAACAACCTCAGATTTTTATTGTCCACATTACCGTGATTATACTGTAAGCATGTCCATTTTGCAATAGTATAAAAATATAACAAAAAAAATATAAAATAATCCAGAAAAAATAATAAAAATTTAGATTGTGGATTTATCCACAATGGAAAAAACGAAACCAAGGCAACCAAACTTTATTAAAGTACCATGATTGAGGATGGCTGAGCCTTCAGAGTGTCCTTTCAGATCTCTTATTCCTGCTCCCTTCAAACAAGCACATTCGACTCTGCAAAATTATATTTAAATTAAATCCTCAGTATCTATGAAAGTTCCTAGCAATGTAAATTTGAATTAGAAACTCACCTAGGAGTCGATTCGGGAGCTGCCATTTTAGGTATTTCCACACTGCTCGAGCGATGATTTTTCTTTTTGGGTGATTCCCGAGATTTTACGCCAACAGTCTAAGATAAAGAAAATTAAATAGGTTTATGTTATTCAGCATAGGCGATAAAGATAGGTATCAAATAGTCACTTAATTCTTACCTTTCCAACATTTTGATTTTTATCTCGATGCTTATCTTGCTCCTTTAGAGAAGCCGAATGGGCTTGAGATGCATTATCAGAGAACAAGACGTTGTTGACCCTAGTACCGTGAGGGGCATAATTGATCAACTCGAAGCAATTTTCGAACTGGAAAAATTACATAGACATCATCAACATCTCAAGTTATATAGGCTGAAGTTATTGGGAAGTGCCTACATACAGACACAATTTTTATGTGGAAGTTTATTGATCAAACACAATTAATTTTCGTCTCAATCTCAATGTCGGGATATGCCACTTTCACATTTTTCAAAAACATATTTTAATTATTGTGTTATTCATTTTAATAACATCTGAATACTTTTTTTTTTTCAAAAAAAAAAACACTTATTTTTTTTCAAAAAAAAAACACTTATTTTTTAAAATAAGATGATTTCAAAATCGAATTTCCAAACTGCTGGGAAAACGCGGGCTAGGACTGTGATGTCGGAGTCCCAAAAATGCGAGGATGCCGAATCTCTCATTAGTAAATCATTCAAAAACATGACTGCGTCTAGTTTAAGTATTGTGATACGAAACGGAAACTTATTTTAATTCAATTTTATCTCGTGTCCGACGTGAATCGATATTCGTCGAGTCAAAACTCGTCACATCTCCGGTATGTTTGTATTCCATTGTCGGAGAAGCGTTCAGATCAAACGTCAGGCTATATTGTATCCTTGTATTTTATTAACAATTCGACAAAGGCAAAGGTGAACTCTTGTTACCTAGTACAATGAACCTAAATGTTTATCCCCGTATTGCCAAATCTGTATCTCTAAAAACCATTAGCAATAAAGATGATATTTTTTACGCTTGGCGCGGGTTGTTGTAAAAAAAAAGATGGCGCGGGTTGTTGTAAAAAAAAAGATGGCGCCGGGCTGTTGTGCCAATCACGCAACAAATAACGTCGGACTATATGACATGCTCCTAAAATGACAGCCTTCTGTGCTAGCGCAGTTACTGATTTGGTGTTATCTCCAATATTTAAGTTTTTCAGGTTTCCCATGAAATGTTTTTCTACCAGTCCATTAGCCGAAATTACAAATGGCAGTACCTCTATATTTTGCAAGTTATATTGCCTATTCAGATCATATAATAGATCTTGATATTTAACAATTTTCTCTATGTATGTTTTATGTATGTTTTTGTCCAGTTTTATGTAGTATTTATCAATATCAATTATCCTTGCGGTTTTGTTTTCTTTATTTATCAATATGAACTCGGGTTTAGTATATGCCAATACTGTCCTATCGGTGATGACTTTTGCTGTTCTGCGATTGGTTCCAAGTTGTACGAGTAATAGGGTGAAATATTATTCTTCACTTTATATTTGTAGTAGAGGTGACTATACAATATTATTCCCACGTCATTATGTCCATTTAAATTTTCTCTGGGTGCGATCACGCTGCATCCATTTATGATGTGTCGAATAGTTTCTAAAGATTTTTTTTTAATGCTTTTTGTACGCTCTAGTTGATATTATTTGATCCTGGATCTCCAAGAATATTATTATTATTATTATTAGTATTATTGTCAGAAAGCTTCGTCTTTAAATAAATGAGACTTCACCAAAAAAGTTGTCTTCACTTCCCAATACCTTCTACCTGCATATATTTACTCGGAAATAGCTCACCTTTACAGTTGGATTATTATATGGCAAATTTTCACAAATATGAGCTTACCCCATCGAAAAATATAGTAGCGTGCAGGGGCGCAATGAAATTGCATTGCCCAAATACTTCCAGATTAACATCGTTAGACGAACCCCTGCCCACGTTTATCGATTGTTTTTTCATGGCTATAGCTTCAGGAAATCTTGTAGATACAGTAGGGCGAAAATTTAGAAAACTATTTAAAAAAATCAGATCAAAAAGTAAATTAGATTTTGCGAGTTAGAGAACAGGAAGTCAACCAAAAAGAAATCACTCACCTAGCATCAAGCCTCACGTCCGCAGGATCCACCTCTTGCGATTTAATATTATAAAAATGCTTTGAAACTATTGGGCAAAGCATCGCTCTTGTTTTCATAGTTGATTCGCTCACTTTTGGAATGGTTGGGGGTTTGGTGAAAATCCTAATAAAAAAATTCGAGAATTTTTCAATTTGGTTGATGGACAGTACGGTAAAGTCATAAGGCCGCCCAAGAAGAGGAAAGTTCGGCGCAATAGATAATGACGTTACTGTTCTGTATTTAGCTGTTCATATAATATAGATTATTTTAAGATCTTCCAGTTAGTCAGTCAGTGAACCAAACCGTGAACATTTCCAAATACTGCTGAATTTCATGTTTTTGGTCAGTAAATCTCGGTTGTGATCTACAAGAATTGTTAAAAGCAAATGTTTGAAAATTATCAATTTATTTTAGAGGTTCCTCGACACTCACATGTTTACAAGCAATAAACATGACTTTGACTTCATGGAATTTTCTGAAACCAAACCTACTTAATAGAAACTTTTCACGGTTCGTTCCAGTTTTATAAACAAAGAAAAAAACAATTTGTACCCGCTTTTAAACAGGACTAAATTGCAACTAGTGAAAAAAATCTAATACAAATTTTTCTTTCTACCTCATAATGCGTTCTTTGTCTGCAGGACTTAACAATTCACTGGCTAAAGGGAATTTTGGCACACCTACATTGGGGTCAGCGAGTTGTCGTAAGCGTTCATATGCTAAATTCTTTATCAGACGTTCGTCAAGTTGTCTCAAGTTTTGTTCCGCTGAAAATAGAGATATTGAAGAATGAGCAGAAATCACTTCTAGAGGCTAGGGAACCATTGCTAACTGATGGTTTTGTTCAAACTACTGTTAATAAAATGGTACAAGAGGGAAAAGCCTTGATAAGGTCTCATTAAATTAATTATGGTTGATTATAGTCTGACTTTGAGTAGTTTTGTGAAATATATAGTTTTTTAATTGACTGAGCCGATACTAGAAATAATAATTAATTTTTACCTAATCTTCTTTAAATCTATTGTAAGTTACATGTTTCGCTACACTGTAGGTACCTTCATCAGCTACTATTATTATTTATTACCTCTTTCAACCATGGATTTTATATATATATTTTTTTTTTTGGTTCTGTCCCTAACATGTGTGAATCGATGATTACCTACTTCAAGAATAATTGCAGCCTAATAGAAGCCTATGAGAATGTAGCAGTAAAAAATGCTCATTTCTCATGCACTCTTAGGTAGGTACATAGTTTCTCGTAAGCATTTCTTTTACCTGAAGAGGTCAGGTGCACAAAGATGTTGATGGTTTCACTATTTGAGGTTTCTGCTAATACTCCCTTTGATGAAAAAAAATTTTGATTGCAAAAGCCAATTTGGATACTTATGCTGAAATATCACTTTTTGTCATTTCTCATACTTCAATTTCCACTTTGATCCCCAAGGAACTAGTTGGTAGATTTTGAGCCAAGTACCCCAAAAGGATATCATTTGTTGTTTTTATGCAAAAATACATTTCTACAATTATTTAAAAAATGTAAATACGTCAAAAAAACTTAATTTTCCTAATGGAAAGTACGATGGCTCATCCCATTAACCAAAGGGTAAACTCACATCACGAAAGAATTCGAATTTGTATGTATATCGTTGGCGGGATATCACAACACATTCTAGGTGACCGTTGGCTTTGGTTCAATTATCTATTTCGCATAGAATGGTCAGACTCTTGTCTCAAATTATTCGAGTTATATTGGAATAACCCAATACTATTTGATCCTAGTAATACATGAACTCTTCTGTTTCCCATCCGCCGGCGCCATGGTCGACGTTACTTCTTTTTTCAGATCTAAAAATCCAGCGCATGCACATAAAAAATCATCGTCACTATCACTACTTGATGAAATTATTCTTTTCAAAAATGACTGAACCAAAACCATGATTCCAATCAAGATAAGCTACTAAAACTGCGGTGCCGATTTAGATGAAACTAATAACCAATAAGGGGTTTACGGCCGTATTCACCAACGACCGATAACTGCTTATCAGTCTGATAAACTGCTTGTCAGACTGTTAACGTAAAATTTGGTATTCACCAACCTTGAGTAGTAGATATCAGTCCGATACAGTTGTCAGGCGAAATTTGGGCTGTTAAGGAAGTTATCCATCTGATAAGTGTTATTGTTATTGTTTTGTTTCGAAACAAAAATCGAATGTAGGTATCCATAAATTGGAAAGAATGGATGGTTCGTTAAATTTTAATTTGTGGTACTTATAAGTTTTTATCCTTTGGCAAAATGAACTGAATGGATGTAACTGACCTAAATTTTTTTGGAAGTTCATCGCGGATGATCCATCAGATGAAGATATTCCCAGGCCCAGAAATGTGAGGGAAAGAATGATTTATTCACTGAATTGGATGATTTGGAGTTTCATAGAAGATTCATAATAAACAAAAATAGCTTTCAAAGGCTGGAAATAAACCTCTGAACACTGAACCTAGTCTTGGAGCCATTGCGGACGAAAGAAATACCAATCTAAAAAAATCAGATTTTAATTGCAACTGGGTCTTTTCAACTTTTGTATTGCGGTGACCATTTCAATGTTTCACAACAATCACAACCAACTGCATCGGTTTTCTTATTCCCGAATAAATATTTCTCAACCAAAGAAATTAGAATTTCCTTTTCGCGACCAGAAAGCTGCTCCGTTTCTTTTCCCATTTGGTATTCGTATACGATAATTAATTATTATTAGAGAAATTATTAGGATTAGGAAGTTATTTACTTGTTTCACAGCCCAAGAAAAGTTATTATTAACAAATAAATATAATACAGACAAATTTTGATGTTGTTAAATGAAATAAAGAGAACAACTGTTCACAGAATATATGGATTTTCATTTTTATCAGTCTGTTTGTTGTCAGAAGGACCAATTTAATTGGTGAATAGCACTTGCTGTTATCCGACCGATAAATGTTAACAGATTGGCAGCTATCAGATCGCTAAATTGATTTTGGTGAATACAGGCGTTAATATTTTTCGTTATTTGTATAGGTGACGCCAGATGGTCTAAACTAAATCATTGGAAGAAACGCTGTGATGCTATGCTATGATATGATGAGCTTGGATTGGGATGTAGTTTTGTTCTTTGCTCTAGAGCCCATAATTAATTTATTTTGAGTTGTTTTCATCTGAATTCTTTCTACCTCCATATTCTTCCATTGTTATCATTTCTTTAACGATTCTCCTTTGTTCCGCAATATAACCCTATCATAATTGCTATTGTCTTTCAAAGTAGGTAAGGTGGATGCGTAATATTTGAAAACCTCGCTTTTGCGCCATCATGATATTTGTGGTGCGTTATTTCTATTTATTAGCCCCTTGTGCATTAAACTGATGCCTTACTCAAATATCCTCTTCAGACAACATTGTATCCAGGTTGGAAATATCACAATGTAAAAGAAATTAATGTGATGTAAAATAAACAATAGAAGAAGTTTAAAAATTGCTCTCTTTTCCAAATTTTCATAAAATTACTCACCATCAATAATAAAAGACCCATCAATAATATCTTTGGTTACACTATTTTTCTTCTTGACAAGACTCATTGCCTCCTCTATTTGGTTAATTTCCCTTATGTCTACACTGCTATCATTTTTATTACTATGCGCCTTGTCGGCAATGTTTGTTGGTGAGAGGTGTACATTGGCAGTTTCCTCATGAATTGGAGAAGTTGGAACTTCGTTTTTGATGCGGCTGGAAATTATTAATATTATATCGAAAATTATGAAATTAAAAAAAAAAACTTACCCTGTATCACTGGCATCGCATGGTGTGCTCTCATCTTCCTCACCACCTTTTTTAGAACCGTCTGATACTGTTTTAACTTCTATGTCTGCATTTTCCTTTTCATTTTCTTTATTAGTTTCATCTTTCATCTGAAAATGATTCATTAAATTATCATCAGTCCCTTGTGCATTTTATGAAGTATAACCTGTTTGACCTGATTATCCCCAGAGACATGTTCTTCAATTCCTAGTTCCTCTTTTATAATTGGGAACAATGGATCTGATGTACTATATGGGGCTCTTACCCCTCCAGGTATTAGGGCCTACAAAAAAAAGCAGTTCAAATGTTGCCACAATTTGGAACATGGAATTATTACCCTAGAGGAGAGTTCTTTTTTGAATTCAAACTGAGGACTATTGGTGCTTCTAGGCTTCAAAACCACTACTCTTAGAGTATTTCCCCGAGCATCATCATTGGGCGGCACAAATTTGTCTGTCAATGCAACGCGTTGGAACATTGATGCGGAGGATAATATCTTTGGGTCCTGATAAAACAAAAAACGATTTATGTTAGGCTACATTTTTGCATAACCGGATTAAATATCGATCCTTTATGTCAAACAAAGATTTTTCAACTGTCAGTTGTGATCCAATAATTTCTAATTGAAGAGTGACTTCTCAGTGTTTATGTGTTATTCAAAATATAAGAATAAACACTAATCATTGCATTACAGATACCAACTAGTGCTGGCAAAAACCGGAAAAAATCAAAAGTAGTTAACCCGTTGTGTCAAAAGTGAGTTTTGGATGGAACCGGCTATTCAAAAAGTGGAAAAAACGGTAAAATGAAACCGAATATTAGGCCAACCGAGTATACACCTTCAATAAGCTAAGTGACGACTCGCCTTCCATTCTATCCCCTGGTTGTCTACAGTTCCGAAGCCACATAGGAGATTCCTGCTGGCTGTGTTCTGAAATTGAATAGGGGCGGCCTCAGGAGCGTTTTCGCTCGAACTATATTTTCTCTAATACCATCAAATAAGCAACAAATTAAACTTATCCAGTCTCGATTTACGAGTTTCAAGATGATTCGCGTGACTTTTCCGCTGCCCAATAACCTTGGCAACACTTTTTTTTCCAAATTCGAATTCAAAAACAGCTTTATTGTCATAAAAAAAAAGATTAAAACATCTCATTGACAAAGCCGAACTAAAAACTAAAAAAAAATACCAAATAGTCAGATGCCAAGCGCATGCTGGCCTATAAAAATTCTTATCCTGTGATTACCTTATGCTTCGTAAGACAACAGATGAAAATGGGGAATACTATTATTCAAGAAAAAAGAGTTAACAATGGACATACTATTCCATAGCAGTAGAAAAATAAATTAATATGGATCTCTTCCACAGGTCATATACGGTTTCTCAGAAATAAAAGGCATCCACAACAGAAAAGTTATGGATATAATATGCGTTTAGAGTTGTCCATGTCAGAACTGGTCTCATGGCCTATGATCTTGATTGAATAAATTATTGGTTTGATGAAAACAATTTATAGACCAATCAAATTGTGATTATAGATTCTGCCTACCAACTTATTCTCTCCGTGAAGCGGGCACATCCACAAACCCAGAGGAAGCTCAGTCAATGGTGGTTCAAGACAGTTCACATGGAAATATGAATTGCAGAAGTCACACTCAATCAGTGCCGCCACCTTACAAGATTTTTCGCATTTGGCGCAGCTCAAATCAGCTAATGGTACAGCACTCTTCAACATTTTGTCCTTTTCTCTCTGTTCCAGTTTTTTTACAAGTTCCGGGTCGTCAACTGGAAATTATTTGAAAAAAATAATTATAATTTACTTGTGGAGTTGTAACAGGTAGTTAATTCAAATTATAAAAAAATGGGCTTTCAAGGCCAGGCGCGCACACTCGATTTGCTATAGCGAAATTTATCAATGGTTGATACCTGTCAAATTTGATATTCATATTAAAAAAAAAAAAAAAAAATTGAATTATTCTCAAAATTTCGAAAATAAGGCAAACTTTTTTCTTTTGTTTTCGACCCACCTAAAAAAATGTGAAAAAAATTAAAAATTCATGATTTTTCACCTTAACAGCAACAAAACAAATGGCTCATTCAAATTTATTTTAACTTAAACTCTTCCGTTTGGAGGTTTTTAAAACAGATTAGGTATTCAAAAAAATCCATCAATGTTAGAATTAGGACGTGCTTGATCCAAAGTTGCTCTGTTTCAACATCCCAAATCAAAATTGGCTCTATCCATTTCCATAACAGTACAAGAGGTCATTTATTTTAGGTGAAAAAAAAAAAACATACATAGAAAACGGGCACAAAAACAACTCTTGCATTTAATATTTCTGAACATTTTCAGACAGAACTCACCTACCTTTTTCTGTGGTGAAAATAGTTTACAGGTATCAATCGATCAATAAAGAAAATAGTAAACGTCATTTAAGACTAAATATTTCCAAAGCAAAGATCGTGAGGGTTTGAAAAAATGCAACCTGCAACCCTTTTTCCCAGCCTCGCAACTCATAGGTAGGTTTCTTCGTAGAACATATTTTGAAACCAAATGGAAACATCTCTGACTTCGAGACACAGTTTGTGGTGCAGTTGTAAATCGATTGGAAATTTTCCTTCTAGAAACGGGTCGAATATTTTGTGACTGATGATTCTAATCTAACCTAACATAGTGTTTGCGCTTCCAATTTTGCCGAACTTGAACAAGGCAGCGTCCTAGTTATTGAAGAATATCTGCTAAACTCAACTCATCATTACTAGAGGATGCTGAGTGGTGTTAGTTTTCTCGTGAAACACTAATGCCTCAACTTTCGCTCGCCTGTCAGTCATTGTTTCTTACAAAGATATCCCTTATATATTATGAGAAGATAGAAATATACATCCGCATTTAAGTATATCGTTCATTAGAAGTTTTTCAGTGTGCAGGTGGATTAGTAGAGATAGCATCTAATGCACCTGCCAAATGCACGGGCTACGTAAATCGGCTTGTAAAATCATTTGCTGGTATCCATAGAGACATCTCCCTCTCAAACAGTCTTCAAGAGGAGCCTTGAACTTATTTCGAATTCTTATATTTTTTAAGAGAAAAACACCGAGAAAAACTTTCAGTTTAAAACTTAAAATTTATATGGCAAATAACTGTTTACAATGTGAGGAACTTATTAATAGAAGAAACAAAAATGTACAACTTCCTGATTGCAAACTTTTTTTGCTTTGTTTTCCATATGAAGTCTGTTTTAGTTACTAAGTTGTGATTGATGAGAAGCAAATGAGCATATCTAACTTTTCAACCATTCTTTTTTATCCCAGAGGCAAGAATTACTTTTGCATGTACGCGCCTGGCCTAAGGTTAACATATTAACCACATTGTTTTTAATAGAATAGATTGTGCTACTTACATATATGGGCTCTATCCATTATTTTAGGTAACTCCATTTTAATTGGCGGCGTTTCAAATTGGAGAGGGTCCACATACCTCGCAGCTTCAATCAGTAATTCCAAAGGATCCATTTTTGTTGGGGATTTTGTTGCTAAAAGGTAAAACCCAATGTTGCCTCATTCAATTGATTGTAAGGCATAGAGAAACCACAACACGTTTTATGCAATTTTGATTAAGCTGGTTTTCATATGCACCACCAATATGATTTGTGAGTTCTATAGTGCCAACCAGACATTAGTGTTTACCTGGTGCTCCAGTAACAGAATCTTCAACCAATTGTTTCTGCCTCGGTTTCTGCATATGCTTCACCTTCTTTCTTTGAAATTTGCAGCTCTGGCATGACCATTTGCCTTGGGGGACGTTTTTAAAGTTTAAAAGGGGGTCATGACAATGTGGGTGGTAGCTTTTAGGACAGACGTCACAGCCAATGAGGTCGGCGCCCTTCTTGCAAACGTGGCAAAATACTTCATTTGGGGCTTCAACTGGCTGTTTGAAGTAAGCATGTTCTTCTTGATTCTTTCCACCATTTCCGTCAGATTCGCTACTGGTACCTGGTAAAACTTGGATTTCCTGTAAAATTTATAGCAAATAAAAACAACGTTTGAAAAAAATTTGAGAAATTACAAGATGCCTATGTAAGCAGGACACTCCAACTTTCCAGGGGGTTAAAGACCCCATGAACTACTCCTTATATTGGGGCTGGGAGCAGAAAAGACCCAATTAGGACCAGCAAAAAAAATAAAACAAATCTTTTGAGCAGAAATAGCGCCCTTGAAATGCAAAAAGAAAATTGAAAAATTCCATGCAGGAGGAACATGTGAAACAAGCCTATAATGGTAGTGTAATCATAAGCTATCAAAATTGAAAATTATTAAGTCTACAAAACATGATGGACAGGGTGTTTCAAATTCGAGCCACATCATTGGGATCTCTAAAACAAACAAATTCAAATCGCAAAATTAAAGTAAAAGACCAAATCTTTTTTTTTTATTTTTAATGAAACACTCTGTATATTTTTAACTCTAATGAAAGTCCTTTTTCTCCTGATTCCAAATATACCATATATGTTGAAATTTGGTTCAGCTGTTTTGATGCTATTTAAGTTTAAAAATGCATTTACATAACCCTAAATGAGGTCTGTTCCCGGTTCCTCACTCGGTTCCTCATATTGTCAACTAATGGTCTATAAATAAAAACCATCCTGTATATCAAAATTAAAACTAACTAGAACACGATTTATCGACAGTCAGCGGTTTAAGCAGGTCAACACGTAAATTATGTTTACACGCCATGAATATAAAAACCCGATACAACCATGGTATCGGCATCCATTCGGGTCTTTCTCTTCTCAGGGTCTCCTTACCCCAGGAAGCATTAACCCCTTCGGATCACTCTCTCCTCAGGGTCACCTTACCCAAGGGAGCAGTAGCTACATTCCTCTTCAGGGTCACCTTACCCCAGAGAGTCTTACCCTCCAGCAGGGTAGCGTTGCCTATACGTGCAGAACCCGTATTCCTACATAGAGCCCCAGCACAAGAGTCATGTGGTACACCTACGTAGTGCCCCTTTGGTAATGTACCTATTGGACGACAATATACACTATTCCCGTTGTAGTTGTGTGTTTTCCTGAAGAGCAAACCCTAACCTCAGGTCTAACCCTCACGAGCCGAAAGGGCCTTGTGTGACATATGGTGGAGGTGCCGTTCGAAGAACCTGTGATGCTGAATCTCCCTATTTAGCATCGAAGTACCTAGGCGAGAGCTCAGTTAAGTAAAGCTAGTCCCTTCGCAAAGATAACTAAATTGGAGTACCTACCGTCGCCATTACATCAGGACTGATAATCAGAGGTATTCTTGGGTGTACACGGAAGTGACATTCGCCAAGGTGTCAGGCACTTATAGTACCCGAAGTGAGATAGACGTCTATTGGACACGAGACCTCAAAAAAAAAAAAAATTATTAAGAAAATTGGATGCCAAGAAAAGAAAACGCTGCGTGGGACATAGAAGCAAGTTAAATGAGCAAGAAATATAGACTACGATCCACTAAAGAAGATAGCCCCTTTACACCACCTCTCAGTAGCACAGAGATTGCGGACGACACAGTCTTCAAACCTAGGATCTCCCTACAAAGATCACCACCAACGCCGAACGCAGAAGGCTACCATATACTCTTAGTAGAAAAAAACCCTAAAAATAATCTTCAGCTCGAACACGAGGACCAGGAGGAGGACCCAGAATCACCAAACCTAACGGACACCGAGCAGACCAACGAGCCAACCAGGGACACAATCATCAACAATCACCCTAACAGAGACCAGGACGGCAACATGGCGAACACAACGATCAGGGACGCGATAGCAAGCGACAAAAACCCGGTGCTGCCACAATTCATCAGTCCGCCAGTCTTCGACCCACGAAAGGACGCTGCAGACAATTTTATAAAAATCTACAACAGGACGGCAGCAGCAAACAATTGGACAGATGCAATAAAAATATTATATTTCGAAACATTTCTTCTAGGGGCAGCAAGTATCTGGTTCCAGCGAATCAAAGAAACCCAGCAAGACCTAACTTGGGACGAGATTTGTACTGAATTCACAAAAGAATTCATAGACGTCGCGTTCGATGGAAAAAGAAGACAAAACGCCACTAATAGAAAGCAAGCCCAAGGGGAAAGCACAAGGAACTACTTCTACGACCTTCAGGTTCTTTATGAGGAATACAAATCACCAATAGACATTGACGACTTTAGAACAATTTTTCAGCAGGGACTGAACCAGGAGACCAATTACCAGTATTACTGGTTAACGAACTTCCCAAACACACCCCCGACAAGTATGGACCAACTTAAACAGCTAGCGATCACCATGGATAATGCGCCAAAAATACTGACACCACAGATAACATCGGGAGAGGTGAGCAAACAAGAGCAACCACCCAGGCAAAATTGGCAGCAACCAAGACCTACATGGAATAACCAACCACGCTTCAGCAGTAATCAACGGCGGCCCAAATCAAATACGTATAACACAAGGACAACGGACAACCGACCAAAATGTTATAATTGCGGAAAACCAGGTCATTTCGCAGCAACCTGCTACAGCCAGAGGAGTTCCCCAAACTCTAGGGGGTGGCAAAACTAGAAAGCCCAGCCACCCTAGCGCAGTCGGGCCCCCGAAACAATAAAATCGTGCAGATCTCAGTGGAAGCTCAAGGAATGGAAATTAAGGCAGTCATAGACACTGGTGCAGAAATGAACATAATCAGCGAAAGATTGGTACGAGATTTGAAGAAAATCCCCTGCAACTCGGTCCTCGTCACAGCCGGCGGACACAGAATCCCTATAATAGGAGAAGTACAACTGCCAATACGGATACAAATGGTTAACCTGGTGATAGAAACCAGGGCGAAAGTAATAGCAAACACTCCTCAACCACTCATTCTGGGCATGCAATTCTTAAACCAAACGGGCGCATGCATAGACATGGCGAAAAAAGAAGTAAGAGTTAACAAAAGACACAAGATTCCATTCTGTCAGGAAAGCATGGCGAATTACGTAAAAATAGGAAAAACGCAAGCAAGGAAGAAAAATCAAAGACAGATGGGAAGTTCACGCAGAGAAACAAAATGGGCACATAAGCAAATGAATAGACCAAAATCTCTTTACCAGAAAACAAGGAAATACAGAGAACAGTGTCTCCATCAAATAAAAGGGGTCATAGAAAAAATGGAAGAAATCAATTTAATAGGAAAATTCAACGCCTTCCTAGAAAGAGACAAAGCAATAGGCATTCATACAAGATATAAATAAATTAATTACCAGAAGGTCACAAAACATTTTACAGACAAAAAAAAATTACGCCATTGGTTACTTTACCTCCTGTCAAATTAACCAAGAAAGAGGCGTCACAAAGGAAATCACGAGAAGATTCCGAGTTACGCAACAACTAAAAAAACCTATAAAAACAGGACAAGTAATAAGCACAGCACAGGGAAAGAGAACTATCTATGGTATGGTAATAAAGCACAGAATAGAAGATAAAATCGCATCACACGAACTACTAAACGTCCTGCAAAAAATGAAAGAACAGATCAAACAAGACGGGGTGCACTATCTGGCAATACCACCAATCAGCGAAAACAGAAGCGGCATCAAACGAGGCACAATCGAAAGAATGATCTACGACGTTTTTAAACATGAAAAAATAAGCATCATATATGCGACTGGAACCCCACAAAAAACGCTGCAAACAACAGGCCAGATAAAGAGCCACGCCAGACAGAGAAAACGGAAACCACAGAATGGTTTGGGAATATGATCCTGGAGACTCACGAAAAGGTCACGAAAGTAACAGCAGAGGAGGACTATACAATTGCACCAGACGAAGACAGATTAATAGAACTAGGAATACAACCAGCCCCACCAGATGAAGGATCATTCGAATTCGTGTGGAACGACGCGTTTCTCACAAAAAATAAACTGATCCCAGAGACACAGATACACTCTGACGGACAGAAATTATGGATGAAACTAAGATCATATAACATCCAACAAGTCCGCATATACAAGTATTCCGCAATAGGGCACCTACGACCAATAGGCAAGGAAGTCACAAGCCTCTGGCACTTCAATGTAACGGAAAAAGCAGAAGACGAAATAGTGACCATAGGCGATCACGACTTCGAAAACATATGGGACGAGGAAGAAAAAAATCTACTAAAGGAAATTTTGCTCGAGTATAGTGATGTATTTGCTAAGTCACCAAGATATATGGGAAAAACTGACCTCACAAAACACGTTATAGAAATCGAAGCAGCCAATCCAGTAAAGAGTAGACCATACCGAGTGTCACAAAAGGAACGTATGATAATTGACGAACAAATCAACGAAATGCTGAAACTTTTCAAGAACTAGCGGACAGAGTATTCTGGGACATGAAATGGAAGGAGGTGTTAATATACCTAGACGATATTATCATATTTTCGGACACTCTAGAAAGCCACCTAAAGAAGTTGAGGAAAGTCTTCCAAAGACTTCGAGAAGCAAACCTAACCTTAAAACCAAGCAAATGCAAATACCTGCAGGAAGAAATTAAAATTTTGGGGTTCACGATGAACAGCAAAGGAATCAAACCAGACGAGGACAAAATAAAGTGCATTAAAGACTTCCCACGCCCGAAGAAGGTTAAAGATGTGCAAAGTTTTCTGGGGCTTTGCAATTTTTATAGGAAATTCATCAAGGATTTTTCAATAATCGCGAAGCCACTGCACGAAACAACAAAAAAAAAAACAGTTACAAATGGGGGCCCGACCAAGAAAGAGCATTTACCGACCTAAAGGAAAAATTGATATCTGCACCAGTTTTACAACATTTTAATCCCAACATAGGGTGCACAATACACACCGACGCATCGATTAGTGGCATTGGGGCCGTCCTGCTACAAGAAAACGACAAAGGCAGCATCCACCCGGTAGCATACGTGAGCCGGAGCCTTTCAAAAGCAGAACAGAACTATTCGATAAGTGAGCTAGAATTACTAGCAGCAGTATGGAGCTTGGGTTACCTACGGCACCTAGTATACGGGAAGCATATTAAAATAGTCACCGACCACCACGCACTATGCTGGATTGATAACATAAAAGAACAATCCAGAAGACTGGCAAGATGGGCATTGAAATTGGCAGAATTCGACTACACAGTGGGGTATAAAAAGGGTACCAGCCATAGGGACGCGGACTGCCTATCCAGATACCCGGTATTAGACCCTCCGCTAGAAGTAGCTGACGACACAGTAGGCGAAATTCCAACATACGCTACAGGAAGCCAAAATGTCGCCGAATTACAGGATAAAGAAGATGGCATACGATGCCTGAAAGACAACAATAATATCCCGATAGGAACAATGAGGAGATCAAAAAATTTTCGACTGATTAACGGCATCCTGTATAAAGCCAATAATGCCCAAAAAGGCCTGGACAAGGTATTGGTATTCCCTTGAGAAATGGTGGAAGAAGTAATGTGGGAATTACATGCAGCCCCAACAAGTGGGCACTTGGGTTTGTCAAAGACGCTGCAAAAAATACAAGAGAGGTATTATTGGGAAAATATGAATAAAAACATAGACAAATATGTAAAGGGGTGCCAGGACTGCCAAGCCAGAAAAGGACAAGCATATAGGAAGCCAGCAGGCCTACTACAACCTATCGAGGTCGGAAAAATTTTCGAAAGAATAGGCATAGACCTACTAGGGCCATTCAGGAGAAGCAATAAAGGGAATACTATGATCGTAGTGGTGACAGAATACGCCACGAGGTTCGCCATTACTGCCGCACTCCCAAGCGGTAAAGCAGGACCCGTCGCCAAGTTCTTGCTAGAAAAAGTACTCCTAATCCATGGAATGCCTAAAACGATTCTCAGCGACAGAGGTAAAGTGTTTCAATCGGAATTGATTCAAGAACTACTTAAGATAATGGGGGTAAGAAGCAATTTCACTACGGCCAACCATCGGTGCTGCAATGGGCTCACGGAAAGGTTAAATAAAACCTTAGCAGACATGCTGTCCATGTACTGCAACACTCAACAAACCGACTGGTGCTCATACCTCCCATTCGTAACATTCGCATACAACACCGCCGCAGGAGGGTATCTAATAACATTCCCTGTTCTCGGCTAATCACAGCAGCATCTCGAAGAGTGGGAGGCCAGAAGGTGGAAGTGTCAGCAGGGGCCACCTGGTGGCCGATCCTCGGGCCAGGGAGTAGAGCTTCCCGATAGAACGAATGTTTTGTCCTTGTCAACGTAATCGAAAAGTAAACGAGAATGATAAAGACGAAAATTTTGTTCTCTCGGGAAGTTCCACTCCCTGGCTCGAGGATCGGCCCGCTGGAGAGAGCTACCAGATACCATTACGTACGAGGGGACGATTCCGCTTACATACAAAGTCCACTGGATCCACGAGCCACCTTCACAAGAGACTCCAAGATTTCAATGCCTGAAAAAAGATAATATTAACGAAGATAGTTGCAAAGCAATGAAGTACTTAGAAGAGATAGCAGTAGCCATCGACAACGAAATCACCTTGTTTACCAACAGTTGGGATCCTGCCCACCTCCGAGTAATGGACATCCGGCGAAGAAAAAGGGCACTGTCACTATCATTTATAGCGGACGGTCTAAACTATTGTTGTGGCGTAGCAACCCAAAAAAAATTGGACTCCATGGTCATGACGTCAGAGGAGTTGAAGATTCGGATGAATAAAATCGGCTAATCTCTAGAGCAAACATTAGGCTCAATCGGGCAAGGGTCGAAAAAAAACTGGAGGAGGTACAACGAACGAACAACCAGAGTGCAACATCAACAAAAAACACCGGCCTGCAAAATGACACCTAGAGGATATCATATACCCAAAGATAAGTGCTATTAAATTATATTTTAGTTTTGTGTAGGTAATTAAGTGTAGAGGTAGGTCAGTTTTAGCAAAACAAAGAAATACAGAATTGAATATTTTTTTATTATTTTTATTTTTTATTGTTTATTTTTTAAAAATATATATAAAAGTAATATATATATGAGTACATAATATATAAAAGAGAAAGTGAAAGGAAATGAAATATGATGTATAAATATTTTTTTTGGGCTACTTACATTCCATATTTAAATACTCACCAAAGGGGTAATTAACAATTTATAGGTATATTTAGTCAATTAAGCATAACATAATAAATAAATTCACACATACAGGAGGTAAGAAATTTACTAACACTTTGATCTTATTGTTACAGGGGCCGAAACGAAAGAAAAAAAAAGAGGGAAAGAAATATTTCCGAACAAGCAGCTAGGAGCCAACAGAAGGGGTACTGAGATACCAAATTCTTTTCATATATAATGTATATATTGTTTTAACTAGTACTTTTATAGAATAAGTAAGATTATTGTAAAGGAATGGTCACATGATTCTTAGCGTTGTGGGCCAACGCCTTCACAGGAGGCGCATATGTCAACTAATGGTCTATAAATAAAAACCATCCTGTATATCAAAAATAATTAAAACTAACTAGAACACGATTTATCGACAGTCAGCGGTTAAAGCAGGTCAACGCGTAAATTATGTTTACACGCCATGAATATAAAAACCCGATACAACCATGGTATCGGCATCCATTCGGGTCTTTCTCTTCTCAGGGTCTCCTTACCCCAGGAAGCATTAACCCCTTCGGATCACTCTCTCCTCAGGTTCACCTTACCCAAGGGAGCAGTAGCTACATTCCTCTTCAGGGTCACCTTACCCCAGAGAGTCTTACCCTCCAGCAGGGTTGCGTTGCCTATACGTACAGAACCCATATTCCTACATAGAGCCCCAGCACAAGAGTCATGTGGTACACCTACGTAGTGCCCCTTTGGTAATGTACCTATTGGACGACAATATACACTATTCCCGTTGTAGTTGTGTGTTTTCCTGAAGAGCAAACCCTAACCTCAGGTCTAACCCTCACGAGCCGAAAGGGCCTTGTGTGACAATATCAATAGTGAGGCTTACCTAATGCTATTTTGAACTTAAATAGCACAAAAACAGCTGAACCAAATATCAACATATATAATATAAGTATTTAGAAACAGGATAAAAAGGACTTTCATTAGAGCTAAAAATATACAGGGTGTTCCATTTAAAAAAAAAAAATGATTCGGTCTTTTATTATAATTTTGCAACTTGAATTTGTTTGTTTTAGAAGCGCCAAAATATACTACCAATAAAACTGTACAGCTTTCATATTTAAAGTTTTTATCCACCTGGCATAGCTGAAGCTGTGGGTAGAGGTCAAATATAAGGAAACACCCTGTACAGGGTGGCCCAAATTCGAGCCGCATCATTGGGATCTCGGAAACCGTCAGAGACACAGGGTCGGTTAAGTTATGAAACACCAGAATGTGCTTGCAAATTTGGTTTTACAAAATTGAAAATATAACTGAGACTTAACTGCTTTCAACAAGACGATGTCCCCTCCCATACTTCTCACAGCACAATAAAATGTATACAAGAAAATTGCCTGAAAAATATCAAGGCAGATTTGTAGCTGCCTAACAGCCCTAACTTAAACCTCATTGATTACTGCATATGGGCAATTCTAAAGTACAATATTGCAACCATCAAAGAATAAAAAAAATCACATCAATTATTGCTGGGACAGCAACAGTCTCAGCAACAGTCAAGGCAGACGTTTTCAGACCGTAGTCGACAATGAAGGGGGGCTTCATCCACAATCAATTTCTATAAAAAATGTTTGACTTTCTTTGTTTGTTATTGTTTACAGTTACCAATTGTCTTGTTTTATAATTCCTAGTGACATATCTTTCCATAGTGTACATGTACTGTCATCTGAGTATGTGGTTTACAAGAATAATAAAAAATTCCTATTCACAAAACAATCTCCAATATTAGGTCTGTTTCTGCAGAAATCACAAACCAGTCAGAATGAATTTCATTGGTTGAAAACAGTCAGAAAACTAGTTTCAACCAATGAAATTCACTCTGACTGGTTTGTGATTTCTGCAGAGACAGACCTATTGATAAACGAGTATTTATTAGTTCATGCATACAAGCACCATCCCATAAAAAAACATCTTCATTTCTGTTCAATCTTGTTTTCCCATAAAAGTCCTTCTTGAAAAAAATATTTGTTGGCTTATCAGTAAGTAGGGCAGTTCGTTTTTGCAACAACAGAAATCTAAACATTGGTCATGACTCATTTCGCATACCAAGAGGTGGTATACCAAAATCATGTCGTACAGCAACCCAATCGCGTCAATCAATTCGAACATACTTACTTGTTGAATCATATGCTGTCGGTACCCTATTGGCCTCAAGGCGATATGTGATACTTGATAATAATCAGGGAGCGGCTTTAACGTTAATTGGCATATTTTAGAAATACCTACTCAAGGTTACATAGGGTTATGTTTAATATAATATGGAGTATAATATGCTTGATAATACGAGATTACTACTCGGACAGGGAATCGACAAGGGAATACTTTCATATGTTGGCTAGAAACCTCTGAGAGAAACCTCTCCATTGCAGAATAATTATAATCACTATGGTGTTAAACTTTGGCAAGTCGAGGCCGAGTAAAGTATATTGCAATCTATGGAGACCATTTGCTTCAATCAAGAATGCTTTACATAAACATGCTGGAACACAATGGGCATAGAGCCCAAATAATCGACAGGAGTGGTGTGAAATTAAAACCGTTTATCTAGAAATGGAATTAAAAAAATGGTGACAAAATAACTTAAGACCCCTCGTTAGTCCCACAGGGTATAATTATTAACAAGCTGGTGTTATCGAGGGTGTAAGTGGCCTGTAGTTCATTTCTGGAAATCTATCTGTGAATCTTATAGTTGGTTAGACTGAAATGTATTTTTTACTTTGTCAAGCTTGATTCTTTGTGTTAGATAAGTATAGGTTATATCAGGCTCAAACAGTTCCCATCGGTTGAAAGACTATTTGCTCCAAAGAGAGTAAACATTACCATGGACAAATTAATAAAAGGTAAACTTACATCCATGAGCACTTAGAGGCGTCTTCAGGTAGGCCCTGATTCTGTTTTCCACTAATTTAGAAGTCTAATATAATACACTAGGGTGGTGTACTGTGACTACTGGGTACAGAAAATCAGGAAAGCACAGACTAATCACTAAATCAAACAGCAAATAAAATAAATTCCTTGTCGAGTAAGGGACTATCGGCATTTGAGATTTGTTTGGAGTTTGGTTTGGTTAAAGTTATCAATAGGCGAGTTTAGGAGTTTACCAGGTTACGAACTGGTAACGAAATCGTTAACCAACACGGATTGGCGTGAATTTTTATTGAAAACCGTGACACGACTGTACGTGCTCTCATTGCTGTGCTCTGACTTGCTGATCCGGTCAACGGACTCACCGGTCAATTTAAATAGTGATATTCAGCTTTTGTACTGCCGTTATTTTTACCCGGTGTTTGTCGCCCCCAATTTGAAAGGAAAAGATGCGTGGTGCAACAAACACTTTTCGAAAGGAATGAGCGCGTGACGCCTCAGAGCTGTTCCGAAGCTCCTCTTTAGGTGTGAAAGGAATACAACTATTGAACCTTGAATTTTTATCACCATGGACACCAAGGATAATACACACTACTACTACAGGATAGCCTATCCTCATAAAGGAGTGTAGAACAAATCTGAAGCCCCCACCAAGCCAAATCACCAGTTGTGACGTAGGCAGTTTGAACCACAGGGGGCGGGCTTTTGCTTTATGCGGTGGTTTTACTACATTAATTAACATTCTAAAACAACTCTTTTTTAGATCTCGCTTTCATCTTTCTCTTTGCCTATTGTTAATCAAAATTAAATAATATTTTCCATCATAAATTAAAATTCTAAACTACGACCTCTAGTGCAAACAGCTGACGAATTGTTAATGACGTCAGAAATGGTGACACACCAAAATGGCGGCGATTACCGAAAACGATGCCGATAAGCAATCCTTAGTAGTTTGTAACATCCTTGAGGTACCCCGGCCTGCCTGGCATACGTCATTGTTTGTTTTCACCCCCTTTCACTGCCCTGGTCAGCAAGGATGATACACACTACTATAACAGGATAGCCTATCCTCATAAGGCGTGTGTGTCCAATTGTGACGCAGGCAGCATGTCCTTTCTCGCCTTGACGTAGGATGTTTGCACCCATAGGTTATGATTCCGCGGGCTTTTGCTCTATAACTACTTGGTTGTACTACATTAATTAACATTAAAACAATTCTTTTTAGATCTCGTTTTTCTTGCCTATTATGTTAATCAATATTAAATAAAATTTTTCATCATAGATTTAAATTCCAAACTACGACCGCTAGTGCCAACAGCTGACGACTTAGTTATGATGTCGTAGATGGTGACACATCAATATGGCGGGAATAACCAGAAATGAGGCCGATAAACAATCCTTACTAGTGTGTATTATCCTTGGATTATGCTGGCTTATGTGATGTGTCAATTGTGTCATCTTCCCCTAGCTCTTTCCCCATCAAATTGTGGGCCAGCAAGTGACGTCACTCTATAAGCATCTTATAGTGATGTCGTCACCCGCAGACCTCAATGGAATGCTCGCGATCCAGGATGTGCTAGTGAGTTAATTTTTTCTTGATCCTCGAGTATCCCGAATTTGGTGGTGGGGGAGTTACGGGAGTATGACACAATTGACACATCACATAATCAGCATAATCGATTATGCTCGGCTCGAATTCTTTTTTAGATCTCATTTTCATCTTCCCCTTTGCCTATTATGTTAAATCAAAATTAAAAGTATTTTCCATCATAAATTTAAATTCTAAATTACGACCGCTAGTGCAAACAACTGACGACTTAGTTATGACGTCAGGATTGGTGACACATCAATATGGCGGCAATACCAAAAACGAGGCCGATAAGCAATCCTTAGTAGTGTGTATTCTTGACTCACCATCCCTTTTAATTTGAAGCGACTTTTGTGTTTTTGCATTGAAAATTGAAATATGCCTGGAAAAAATACCGTGCGAGGAGAACCAATTACCATTTTGTAGGACCGGTTGTACCAAATACTGGTTCAGTTGCTCACTTTGGCATATTTCTGAAATCAATGCATCAAATCGGAAAGGTAAACTAACCACTGTTGGGTACAACCGGGCCTAGTTTGTTTATTTATTTTCTTATAATCGTGACACCGACCGACATTTGAGAAACACAGACTACTTCGAACGAAAATGTTATGCAACGGCAACGTTACTAATATGACTACCCAAGGGTGCATTCACGATTCGACAACCCAGGCTACAATCTACCCAGGGCAGGGATCATGACTAGTAGAATTCTACTTAAATGACGTCAGGTTACCTAGCAACTGTCATCATCGACTGTAACTGTACGCGATAAATAGGTCGAGGGTGACGTCAAAAAAGGAGAATCTACTTGTCGTGATCCCAGCCCCAAGGTAAATCCTTCTCGGGTAGTTAGAGTGACTTAACCGGGTTAAAAAACGCCTCAACCAAGGCGAATTGTGTCATTTGTTATCTCCACATGTTTTATGTTTTAATTTCGAATCACGTACTTTCGTAGTTTATTTCTTTATTTTCTTGGTGAATTGGGTTTGTATTTGATCATGGATGTAGCATGTAGCTATCTTTTCTAAAAACGTTGTAAGAGTCAATGGATAATGACACCCTTTCCCAAAATTCCAAAAAAAATAACACCATGAATCTATCGCGCATGTCAAGCAAATTTTGCTTAGCCTTTGATTGGATTGAAAATTTGTACTACCCGCTTGAAATGACGCCGACTGTGAACGCTGGTGTAATTTTACCCAGGTTGAAGCATCTCGATTCTCGATTCGTGAACGTCGTTCACCGGAGGCTAGAGCGCGTACGGAGCGCGCCGGGTATGTGCCCCGGGTGTCTATCGTGAATGCAGCCGAAGAGTTAACCAACATACCAACCAAAGCGCGGCGAAATCGTCTAATCTTGGTTTTTGTTATTGTCAATCTTGTCAATAAATATTTGACGTATCGGCTATCGAATCGAATTCTATTGTCACCGCTCACCGCCACGAACTACTCTTCATTCTATCTAGTATCACGACAAGACACTACTGACTGGAGAATTGGAGGTCTGGAGGTCATTTTTTTATATAACACCGACACTAGTGAAATTGTCTCTCTTTCTTAAATATGCCCCCTTTAGCAGCACAAAAAGAAACAGCTCCAAGCCTTGATTCAGCCACATCAGATGTGGGGATCAAGGCTGTCTTATTGGGCCCCCCTGGTTCAGGCAAAGGCACTATGGTAAATAATTTTTCCCAATAGTAATATCAACTTTTATTAAGTACAAATTGGTTTTATTTCACAGGCAGGATGGTTGAAAACCAAATTCTGTGTGTGTCACCTTTCTACTGGGGATATGCTCCGGGCTGAAATATCTTCTGGATCTGAACTTGGCTCTAAACTTAAAAAAGTTATGGACGAGGGCAAGTTGGTTAGTGACGACTTGGTTGTCGATATGATTGATAAAAATTTGGACACACCTGAATGCAAGAATGGATTTCTACTTGATGGATTCCCAAGAACTGTCGTTCAAGCAGAAAAGGTTAGTTTTTTTTTGTCTATTCTTATATAAAGCTGGATTTATAGTGTCAGTATCAGTACCAGTAGCAGTAACAGTAAAATATTAAAACACCGACGACTGTAAAGCCTTTTATAGTTCACTTATCAGTAAAACTTAGGAAATGGTTATTTTCATATCTGTTCTTAAGTTTTAAGTTACTGTTACTGCTACTGATAGATCCAGCTTAAATTTGAATAATATATGGCACAATTTGAAAAGTTTGTCCTGGGCTCCATTCACCAGACAAAAAAATTTCAAACATATTAGGGTCTTTTAGCTTAAATTATGTATTTCAACACCAAAAAAAAAAATGTTTGGTATTTGGTATTTGTGAGTAGAAGGAAGAGGAAGTAGGTGAAAATACGAAGTGATGTAAAATTCCCAAAACATTCAAAAGCCGCAAAAATTCTCAAAAATTTACGGGAAATATTGGAAATTTACGGGAACTTATGGAAATTTTTATATTTTTTAAATTTTTATAGGTAAATCGAACAATTCAGTGGTGAGCTTTTTTTTTTATTGTAGTGTAGGTACTGACTATAGACTATAAACCAATAAAAACACAGAGAAAAACACTTACATATCAGCTGAAAATAAATCTAGTAAAAATACTTTTATGGCTGTGTGAGAACAGGGCTAAATCATCCACATAAATTGAAATGACGTGACCAAGATCTTATATTTTCAATAATATCGCATTTTTAAATTCTCCTAGAAAGTTTTTGGAAATATTCTTGAAAGTTTTCAGAAATATTCTTAGGAATTTTCAATTGAAAGTTTCTGGGAATATTCGAATTCAGGAGAACATTTCCATTTTTTATCGGCGAATTCTCATATTCTCAACTCACATCACTAAAAATACCTATGAAAAAAGCTTGAAAAAAAGGCGTTGTCACTTTGTACCTGGATTTTGCTTGAAGCCCGAATCATACTATACGTACCGGCACCGCGAGCGGCACCTTCTTGTTACTGTACCGTCAATGACACGTCAAATATTGTAGTGTATAGGTGTCGTGTTAACAGAATCATTGCTTTCAATGTAAGATAATTTGTCGTGTTGTTGACACCACAGTGCCGGTATGTATAGTATTAATGGCGCATTCATTGATTGTTGACGATTTCCTTTTTAAAAAAATGAAAACTGCAAATTGGGCTGAAAACATCAAGTACCCCAAAATTACCCAACAAATTTCCACCAATCCGAATTTAATTGGGTACTATCCTTAACTGATTGTGTGCTAAACTAAAAACATTTTAGAGGTCTTCTATAGTATGAAGAAATTTAAAAAATACTAATAATTTGGGAAGCTTTTTAATAACTACCCCCGAATATACCTACAATGCCTGCTTTATTCCTTAAAATTGAGCCGAAAATTAACCCTGAACTAAGAAATATTCTGAAAATTTGTGAAGTTGAAAGGTATTTTCTTGATAAAACCTCAGGTGAAATTATTTTAACTTCCAACTGAGAAATCGCCAAAGCGACTTTTTTGATTTAACCAAATACTGAGTTGGTTTGAATTTTATAATTTGGCTTTTGATGTAGGTATGTACAGTCGTGAGCATTGAAACTGGGACACCCGTCTTGACAGATCTTGTTATTTTCCACTATTTTGGGTAAATCAGTCTTTTTTCTACAAGGGATTTTTTGTCAAATATGACAATCCCTGCCAATGCCGTACATATAGGTGGTGAGCTCGTTTTACCATAGGAAAAATCGGGTATCCCATTTTTAATGCAACAAGTTACCCACTCTATTTTTGTTCAACAAAAAAATATATCAAATCCAAGTAGTTGTTTTAAATGGCATGACAATTATGGGGAAGGTTTGAATTAACATTTTATTGTTTTTTTTTTTGAGGACATTGAAATTTTTTTGGCTTCTTGTAAGCCATTTTGTATTTTTGAGAAATAAATTCTTACAGATTGCTACATAAAACAAGTATCCATAAATGATTATGTAACATGAGGTGCGAATGATGCAAAAATTTAATTAAATGACCTTACATTATTAACCAACAAATGCTTCAACACTAATCTTATCGACATTTTTTATTATCTAATTCGCCTTATGACTCCACTAGAGATAACTATCCAAACAATATTGCTTATAATAATAATAAAATAGGTATCCTTTGTTATTATTATTATTATTATTATTATTATTATTATTAAAATTACAATAGCAGGCGATCGAAACCGATGAAGCTATTGTTATGCACCATAATGAATTATTCTTTCTGAGTAATCTTTCAATTCTCTGTCAACGACGATTTTTAAAAATATTAGTGTTTGGTGGCTGAGACTGTATTTTGGCAAAGCAAATTCCAAGAATGCACTACACGGTTTACTATAAAGTTTTTCCTAGGTAGTTTTGATGATCTTTTCTTTTCAAGCTTCTTAGAATGGCCACGAAGATGAGGATTTCGACATGGATGGAAAATATTTATCAGATTACACTGATAGTAATCCCTGGATATTTTGTCGGTTTCAATTAAATCGCTTCTGTGCCTTCTTTCTTTAAGGGATGTCAAATTGAATTTGAGTAATCTTTTCGGATATGGCAACTGTTTCAACTGTGGGGGATTATTTGTCACTCTGCGCTGAATCTTCTCAAGAAGTTCTATGTCCTTAATGTAATATGGATTCCACACAGTATAAGCATATTCTATTTTAGGCCTTATATAGCTTTTGTAAAGGGTAGATATCATCTCGATGTAAGAGTTAGCTTTTTTAGTTATTTTAATTATGTGATTCTCCCACTTCAAGTCGGTTGTTACTACAACTCCCAGATCATTTTGTTTTTTACTGATGTCAAAGCAGAGTCATTAAGAATATAGTCTTTGTTAGGGTTATTTGGGCCAATCCTTAGTACTGTGCATTTTGAGTAGTTCAATTTCATTCTCCATGTTTTTGACCACTCTTCAATGTTCTTAAGATCAGTTTGAAGTAAATTCGCAACTATCAAAGGATCTGCATTGATTTTGCAATCATCTGCAAACAATTTACCACTTGATTGGATTAGTTCCACGAACAGCACTGGACCGATCACCGAACCCTGCATGACTCCACTGGTTACCCTATGGGGACTGGAAAGCTCTCCATTAACTCTCACTTGAAAAAAATCTATCTTCTAGCAGTTCTAGCAGATCCTTGATCAAGGCAAGCAACTTTCTTCTAACTCCAAAGTGCTCTAATTTCACTAATAACAGGTTAGGTGCTCAATGCTTTTTCATAATCTAGATAGATAACATTCATTTCTCCCTGTTTAAAGGGAGCAGTTGTCATACCTCTTTTTAAGGGGGATGATAAAAATGATCCTATCAATTTTCGCCCAGAAAGGCTTGTTGACTTGTTAGAACCGGGTGAATCGATTTGTTCAAGGCACACTTAGTAAGTGTCGGTTTTGTTTATTTCAATATGGTTGTTGATAGGTGGCCCATGATTGGTTTAAATATTATCTCTATATATCACACAAATCGCTACTTAGAAGATTCAGGATAGTTTTACCATTTTCGCTGAAGATACGACCATTTTGTGGTCCAAAAAAGAGTCGGAAGTTTTGTTCAATGTTGTTTTAGAGTATATCAGAGCAGTTAGGGGATGGTGCAACTCTAACTTGCTTTAGATCAATTTTGAAAAAACAAACATGTTTTTAATAAATGAATGAATGAATAATTGAAGATACATGGAAAATTAACCCATCACTATGCCAATCTTCAATAAATTCTTAGGTCTGTCAATAGCCAGGTCCCTTAAGTTTAAAGACCATATTGCACAAGTATGCGACAATATTTTGTTTGGTTGCTATGCCCCGAGAGTAATTGCTAATAACTTGAATTTATCCATTGCCAAATGTGCGTAAGTACTTTGGGATTATTGAGTTCCATCTTCGATACGGGATTTGCTTCTGGGGTTCTTCTTCTGATTATCTTCTTAATTCAGTGTTCTTATCACCAGAAAAGGGCCATTCGATACTTTGATCAAATGTATATTTTTTTCAAATTCTGAATGGAATTGGTGCTGCATGGTTTTCTATTTCATCAATCGTATCTGTTTTAGGAAGTTTCATAATAAATCTCTAATATATGAAAACACGTATTGAGCTTCCATTTAATTTGGAATCAATTACTTATTATACTTCTAACAAATAAAAATGGTCAGATAAGGTTGTCATAAATTTAAAAGTAAGGAACCATAATTCAAACTTGAAAGGTCCTACGATAGACATTAATATCATTATCTACATTTTAGCAATGATAAAGTAAATAAAAAACATTTGTGATAAATTAGATTACCTGGAAGTAGATTAGCATACTAATATTGATCAAAATATTTCAGCTTGATGATTTGCTAGAGAAAAGGCACACCCAACTAGATGCCGTTGTTGAATTTGGAATTGAGGATAGTCTTCTCTTCCGGCGTATTACAGGAAGACTCATCCATCCTTCCAGTGGTAGGTCGTACCACGAAGAGTTTGCACCTCCTAAGCGCCCAATGATCGATGATATTACTGGAGAACCTTTGACAAGAAGGTCTGATGACAATGTTGAGGCTCTAGTAAAGCGATTGAGTTCTTATCATAATCAAACTAAACCATTAGTGGACTACTATCAAATCAGAGGTATCCACTATCGTGTTGATGCTTCCCAAGCTGCCAAAGATGTGTTCAAAAACATAGACAATATATTTACTAAAAAATCTGCCTCTAGACTCTCGTCCAGACTATGAGAAGGCACTATGATATGTTAGCACCATAAAAAATGCATTTTAAATTTTTTCAGTTTTTCGATATTCATTATCTAATATTTTTTGGTTAAAACAGCGCCTACCCATGATCGATCTCTGTTAAAATCAGTTTGGCAATATTTTTCTATGATTACTGTTGTTTTAATAAAGTCTTTTAAAAAAAATGTCTTCTTTTAATTTTAATTTTTTGAACATACTTATGCATTTGAGTCTCTATGTAATGACTATGTTTTAGAGTTCCTATGATCTTGCATCGAAAAAATTATTTCAGGGAACTGGGAAACTAGGCATTCCTTAGAAAGAGGCATGGGGATGAGAATAGGTTTATTCATTTTTCCTCAAGTTCCAGTCTCGTTGTCTCGTATAAGTACCTACATAAAATGTAGCTTATCAGTAAATGAAATGTGTTGTATTGATCAATTAAAATTTGAATAAGTATTTTGCTCTAAAGAGACTTAAGCCCCAAGGCAATCGCATGATAACAGAGCCAAAAACTCCACCAATTAGGTTCATCCAGGCCGGATGTGTGCCAAATTGACAAAAGCTGATGGTATGTTTGGAAGATGTTTACCTTTCATAATAGCATTGTATAATAGACAAAATTGAAGAAATCAGTTATTGAATAAGAATAGATCTAACAACCTCGTTAAAATATTTAGCGTATTCTTATTATCAATGTTTTGTTATTAAAAAATGGATTTTCAAATGAACTATAATACTTCATGTTCAGTCTTTTCGCTTTTTTGTAATTAAACGTGGCATCATCGCACATTTACGTCCAAATTCTTTAACACGTTGAGTGCCACGTGTATCTAACATGGATACAAGCAACCACAGAATATATAGGTACCTGTATCTACTGCGGATACAAACTGCTGTTTTTTTTTTTCTTCTGACCGTGTGTATCCGCGTGAGATGCAGGCTTTGCACGTATTGTTATGGGAGCCTTTATATAGTGGCCTGGGGTACCCAAAAACGGTTTGGCCTGTGGATTTTATTTCTGGTTTTTTTTTACAGAAGGATTTATAAATGAGGGCATATAAAAATTGGTTTATTTAAAAAAATAGCATATTGGACACACCAACTATGGACTAAAAACGTACACATGTATTTTTTATTATTTCAACCCATAAAACCCATTTGTTTATGCATTGTTGCCAATGATGCGCCCAGGGATGCGCCATGTATCTGCCTATGGTATAATATACAAAAAATGATAAACTGGCCACGTGTATCCAAGGTGGATACATTTTCAAAACAATCAAAACCATGTTTTTTCGAGCGTCTAAAGTTTTTTTACATCATTTTTGATGCATTTTTACTTCAAAATAATATTTTTTTAGCAAATGCGAAAAAAAACGTGGCCATAGGAACCTATATTTTTGCTACCTACCATTATGTGACACTCAACGTGTTTAGAAATAATTTACTGAGCATATGCTCAACGATTACGCATGGGTTATTTATGTCTGTTTCTGCAGAAATCACAAACCAGTCAGAGCGAATTTTATTGGTTGAAAACAGTCAGAAACAATCAGAAAACTAGTTTCAACCAATGAAATTCACTCTGACTGGTTTGTGATTTCTGCAGAAACCGATCTAATAATAACCAAAAATACCTGTTTACCAAATATGGATGATGTTTAATCAAGAAGAAATAACATTACTGCTCATGTTTATTATGTTTACGTGTAGATAATGTAGACAATGTAGACAAAACGTGTCAACAATGTAAAATAATATAAATGACGTTTAATTCTAACCTCACACTTTCCTTTTTTTAAATTATTTTTATTTTATTATTGGTTTTCCTAATACTTTATGTTCAGTGAATGCTGATATCGAAGTGATAGTGTTTAAAATAAGTTATTGTTTACGCCGCATGTAGACAAGTGTAGACAAATGCTCACGTAAACAATTCGAATTGTCTACGCGTAGACAATTGATTGTTTACATTGACATTGTCTACAGGCACATCACTGCTCCCGAGTCCCCAGGAGAAAACTTGCAGGGATTTTTATGACGGGCATGCGCACATCCATCTTTCTCAGGGGATTTCCGATATTTTTCGTATTGCCAATTATTGTACCTACAACATAACCTCGAGAAGTTGTTGATAGGGTCTCTTTACCTTTAACCATTTATGCCTAATTTGTTTGGTTTTTCAAATAAAATAGTTTGCTTTTAATTCATTTAGCTCTGAAGACAGGGTAAATTACCTTAATAGTTTTCTTCAGTTCCTCTAGTTGTAACCCCGGATATAATAATATATTATTAGTTCTGATGTATAAAATAATAGGTTCATTAATTGGTTGAATTATCGGAGAACGTGACAAAAGTTTAATGTTACTTTGAAAATTGAAGAAAGTACATATAATAACTGGGGAATTCAACCTTTTAGAACCTCCATTATAAAATAAGCTTGATTAGTGAAGTTTATTTAGTCCATAGATATTTTATAGCACTAGGTACCAACCTTCCTAATTACCATTTTGTACCTACCATCACAAACGGTTTTCATAGGTTTTTCCTTTATCTTGAACCGCCCTTTGTCTGAGCAGAAAGGAGAAATTTAGTAAAGCCAGAAGCAGCCACAGTTATTAGTAAACCTCCGACCTCTCTGAAGACTCAGTTTACTCAGTAGTGGCTCTAAATAATTACATTGGCGTTAGCGTGGTCCAACAAAACTACAGCACCATTTTCAAATTAGAAAGTTTAATATTAGTGTTATGTGTGTGATTTTTCTATAAAATGGCGAAACCAGTTGGCAAGTGAGTACATCCCTATCATATACTTAATTATCCTTTTTAAAACTCTCCCCATTTGGAATTTGGATATTTTATATTTAAATTCAATTTTTTTAAATTTAATGTGATACATACAAAATACTTAGGATTGTTTGATTTTCATAGTAATATCAGTAAGTTTATAAAATAAGAATACCTATTTGTTACAGAAATTCACGGATTATATGGAGCATGGCTATGATCACAACCTTGATCGATTTATATGAAGGTAATCCCTGCCTTTATTTAACCACCTCGTTGGATTACAGAAACAGAAACAGGCGGAATAAAACCTTAGTAAATATTTGCGAAACTTTAAACAATAGATACCTGACCATTACTAAATTAACTGTAAAGGATGTTCAAGGCAAAATTCATAGCTTGAGGTCCCAATACCTGTGTGAACTTGGAAAAATTAAAAAAAGCCAAGTTTCAGGAGCTTCAAATGACCAGGTTTATGTGCCAAAATGGCAGTACTTTGGGGCACTTAGTTTTATTGAAGGCCGGGGTGGCAATATTTTATCTGAAGGAGACTCCAACATGAAGGAAATGGACCTACAAGAATTAGCACTAATTGAAGTAAGTGAAGCAAAAGTTGTTGTTGTTGTTGTTGTTGGGTACATGTTTGTATTTCGGTTTTATTTTTCATGTCAAGTATTTAGTTGCATACAAAATACTTTTTCTTTAGACCCAAGAAAGTAATATAGAAACGTCAATAAAAACAGAAACTGACTTGAATGAAGTCTTTAATTCTGAGGTGTCCCAAGTCCCTACTGACTTCAGCGAAGAAATGATGTCTCCATCAGGTACTGACAGTGAAATTTCAAGGCCTACTTCTCGATCTTCAATACATCTGAAAAGGCGAAGAATTTCTGAAACAACCACCAAAATAGGAAACACTAGCCTAGCGGATAAGCTATTGGAGAAGGCAGATAAAGTACTAAGAGAAGCGGAAATAGTTCCTCCTCGGGTTTCTCCAAATTTGAGCAGCAAAAGAGCATTTGCCAAGTGAGTATACGCATAATATTTTGTAATTTTAATTGCACAGGTTTTCTAAATATAAACTTTATTTCTAGGTTCATTGAATTGGAAATGGACAAAATAGAGGATGAAGCAATAATGGATGAATTTCAAATGGGTGTAATGAAATTGTTGCATGATGCAAAAAAAGAGAACAGGCGTAGGATGAGCATCAGTGAAAACTGAATTTATTAAGACTATTAAGAATAAAATAATGTGTGTAAGTGATGCTATGATACATTGTGGAAGATAAGGGGATTTATAATGATACATTTAATAATAGATTATATTCATTTGATTCATGTTTTTTGTTTCAAAATTAATCAAAAATGATTTTATTATTCAGGGATCTAATATTTACACACTCGGATATACAAGAACCCATTACCCAAGGTTCCCATTACCATATGTATATATGTATTTTAATATTAGGATATGGTGACATGTGGAGAAGTCAACAAGAAACTTGTAATATCTTTGCTTCGTTTATTAATTTATGTTCCAACCAATATTTCATCCATGACTTGTCATCTTGATCTACTGTGAGTAAGTTGGTAGAAAAGTTTACCCAAACTGGTGCAGTAAAAGATTTACCCAAATCAGGGCGCAGCAAAACTGCATCAACTGAAAGCAAATCTTCAGATATTTGTGTCGTGTTAGAAGACGATCCGCACTTGAGTACTAGACAAATATCCAGGGAACTTGATATTTCGCAAACATTCGTAATGAGAATTTCACATGACTATTTCATTAGAGAGTTATACACTGGCTAAATGTCATAGCAACGGCCTGCTTTCTACCTAGGGCGTATCCAGCTCAAAACAGAAGGGGAAAGCAGCTTTCTGAATTCCGTCCTGTATGACGCCTGCGTTTTGATAGCCTTCTTATAAGGACAGGGGAATGCTAAGCATAGCTAACCCGTTTAACCTATCTTCACTAGTGCTCCATAACCCAGATTCCTATTTACAATTAGGAAGAATATGCGGGACCTCTATTGTTGCCACTGTCTGTAAATGTTTATTAATTATTAAGTCACTGTAGAGCTTTCGCCAGCCAAGAGAGTGAAGACGGCTCGCGGCTCAAAATAAATCATCACAAACCGGAACATGTGTTTTTGCGGATATTTTGGGGAGCGATGCCATTTTTTTCTAGCAGGAGGCAACGAAGCCCTAAGCAAAAAAATCTTCTTTGAATTCTTTAGGGTAGGATCGTTAGCATAGTGATTTATCAAAAACTTAAATTTTACCGCCTTTTGGAAATATAGGAAGTGCGCATGCCCGCTCCTCGAGCTTCATATCTCGAGGCGGTGCTTGTGGAGTTAACTCTTTTCACTCTACTTGGCTGCACCCGAACGATGAGGAGCTTGCACTATTTGCTCCCAGTGGCTTGACCAGAACGATTTTGCAGTGAAAAGTGTCAAAAGAGTTGCCAAGCCAAACTCACCTATGATATTGGATATTGGCAAAACTTTGATAGTTAAAAACAGGTAAAAAAAAATAAACTTACTGGTTTCGTGTCTGACATACGGAAGTGCAGACTGCAGAGCCACCTATCTCATTTCTTTTTAAATCCGACCTTCGGAAACGCAGGCACAAAAAATGATGAGATGTTACGATCCAAATTTTTGAAGTGAAACTTCTTTACGCACGTTAGGAGTTCGTTCCATGGAGTTGATATGCTATGTGACGAAAACATGCAACGCTAGGCAAGTCCTCTACTGCCACGTCGTAGAGTTAGTACTGAGGATCGCTTAATATATTCACCACGAAATCAGGAAGCACAATAGATGCAGTATTTGATAGTTAAGTTGGATAACAATCAAAAGTTTTTATTTTATATTTTAGTCATCGTATGCCTATTATCTCTTTCATTAATTTTCGAAATTGCCATAACTGGATAAGGACACTAAAAATAGTATTTTCTGCATTCTTAATTTTTTTTCTCATGGCGCACTACATTCAGTCACTGCTGGCAACAGCGGAATCAAACTTTTTACCCAACGGGAACCCAAGGATAATACACACTACTACAACAAAATAGCTTATCTTCATAAGGCCTGTGTGGCTCAAATCTCAAGCCCCCACCCTGCCAAACCACCAGTGATGACGTAGGCGTGACGTTTCTCGCTGGCCTAGGGTGCCTGCAAGGATAATAAACACTACTAAGGATTGCTTCTCGGCCTCGATTTTGGTAATCGCCGCCATATTGGTGTGTCACCATTTCTGACGTCATTAACAAGTCGTCAGCTGTTTGCACTAGAGGTCGTAGTATAGAATTTAAAATTATGATGGAAAATATATATTTTTTTAATTTTGATTAACATAATAGGCAAAGAGGAAGATGAAAGCGAGATCTAAAAAAGAGTTGTTTCAGAATGTTGATTAATGTAGTAAAACCAAGTATGCATAAAGCAAAAGCCCGCGCAATCATAACCTGTGGTGCAAACAGCCTACGTCAAGGTGCGAAAGGACATGCTGCTACGTCACAACTGGTGATTTGGCATGCTGCGGGCATCAGATTTGTTCTACACAGGCCTTATGAGGATAGGCTATCCTGAAGTAGTAGTGTGTATTATCCTTGGGGTGCTTGCACCACAGGTCATGATCCCGCGGGCTTCTGCTTATTCACACTTGGTTTTACTACATTAATCAACATTCCAAATCAACTCTTTTTTAGATCTCGTTTGCATCTTCCTCTTTGCCTATTATGTTAATTAAAATTGTATAATATTTTTCATCATTGATTTAAATTCTAAGCTACGACTGCTGGCGCAAACAGCTGACGACCAATGAACTATAGCTAAAAACTGGAATGCGCACACATTGCCATGAGTACGACAAAAACAGGTATCCCCTCCGCAGCAGCCGCACTAGGCTTCAAGTTTGTCCTATGTGTTAGCATTCCAGTTTTTGGTTATAGTTCATTGCTGACGACTTAGTTAATGACGTCGCCAATGGTGCTGCACCATATGACCACGATTACCAAAAATCAAGGTTCCTAAAGTTAATAGGTTTTTTGGTAATGGGTAACTTGATGACGTCATCTGGGGTGCCTTATGGAGATTTGCATTATGTTGAGGCACCCCAGATGACGTCATAAAAGTTATCAGACAACCTTGACCAAAAAGGAGGTCGATAAGCAATCCTGTAGTAGTGAGTTTTATCCTTGACGGGAACCAGCTGTTTGAGTTTTGTCGTCTTTTAATTTTGATTGGTAAGATCTTGACGTCATCGTTTGGCGCGGGGTTTTGCAAAATGTATCGTAAAGTTTTGAGAATAGCATGGCTTGTTATAAAGTGAAGGAAAAGGACCACATTTTGACCATTTGCTGTAACCTTATCGTCCCAGCACTGTTCTAGAATAGGATAAAACTGGTTGGAACGCAAATGGAATCGAAATCGTTTTCGAACGCAGCTCTTGTTATTGAACCGCCGCCGCGGCGGTACACTAGATTCAAAATCAAATTTTGTTTTTATTTTTTTTAAATTTAATTCATCTGGGAGTATTAGGTGACAATATTATTTGTTTTAATTTAATATTGTTCAAAATGGACTCATCAGATGTATCCAAGTGGAAAGAGACTTTTTTCCAGGTAGGTTATTTATCAGAAATTCTTGCAAACTTTTATCGAAAGCTTTTATTCAATATTGTTTACTATTAGATACGGCACTCATAACTTCTTCCAATAGGCGTTCTACTGGCATAGAATTCGGTTAGTAGTTATAAAATGTTTCCTAGGGAGCTTAGATGTTTTCTCTGTCTTCAACTTTAAAGAATTTCCACGCAGCTGTAAATTTTCACAAGTTTTAAAGGAATCCTAGAGTCGTTATACTTAGAAAGTCTCTAATAAACCACCTCTTTCTTCTGGCCTTAATGTTGTCATATAGTTTTGAAAGGCAAGATTCATTGCTGTCATTAAAAAGTCCTTGTCTCAGAGTCTCAGCCCTTATGGTCACTTTCCTCTATTGCAACATTTCTGTATCCTTGATAAAGTAGGGTTTCCATATAGTATGTGCATATTCCAGTTTAGGACTCATGTATGGCTTGTAAACTTTCAAGACGAAGTCTGTTCAACGATCCTTAAATGATTGTTGAATGCAGTGAATAAGAGAGTTTGTCCTATCGGTAACTTTGCCTAATGCAAGTTTCTCATTTCAGATTATTTGTTATCAAAACTCCAAAGTCATCTGTTCTTGCAAACAGTTTAAAACTGGATTATTTATGGTAGAATGCAAGTCTACACTACTAGAACCCATACTTAGGACTGTACCCTTCTTTTCTTCATTCAGTTTCATCCTCCATTTGTTACACCAAAGTTCTATTTTTCTAATATTCTCTTGAATATCCTTATAATTTGTGTCAGGGCTTACATATAGTTTTGTGTCATCAGCATAAAACACAATTGATTATTTTATATCTGCTGCTAGGTCACTGTTGTAAACCAGGAACAACATCGGTCTAAGGACCCCTGCGGAACTGCACTCAGCACCTGAGACGATGATAGCACGCCAATAATCCTCACCGGATATTTTCTGTTTGATAGGAAGTTCCCAAGTGAAGCACGTAAATGACCCCTGATAAACTAAAGCAGCCCACTCAAACCCTATGGAAAAGGGATCTATTTCGATATTCCCTGAATTTTTATATTTAGAGGAAGTCTTCCTGATTAAAAGTTACGATTGCGCTAGAGTCCGATAAGCAATAGGTTCAGAGATATTGGCCATACTTAAATATACTGGAAAATAAATATTTAATTTGTGTTGGGTAGAGTATGTGTCACAGTTTTTCCCCAAGACTTTTAAACAATAAAATGGACGACTGTGTTATACTATTTCTTCTTGTAAAAAATAACCTAGTACCTAGTTGAGTTCCTAGGTACCGAATATTTCAATAGGTGAATTCTAAAATTATTTCTAGAATTCGTAATTTATTTTCATACATGACAGAAGACATACATTGTACTTTGTATTTGGGTTCGTCAGCAACCTGTCGAGTGCTTAAATAAATAAAAAAATAAAAATGAATAAATACCTGACAGCCCTGAGTTCTTATATGAGGCATTTAATTTATCCAGTATCATTGGCCATCATCACCAAAACTATTGAAGATCACTTTTCCATAAGGCTTGAGTGGGCTCTTTTATAAATGAGCAACTGGGTGGCACCTTCTCAAAGCCATTCTCAAAGTTTAAATAAATCACATCTCCTTGTTTGCTTTGATCAAAGCTTTCAATCCATGAATTCAAGCAAGATGCAAGATGTTTAGTTGGTAAAAGTTGCCTTTTTCTCGATTTTTTTGGAATCCATGCTGGTGCTTAGATATCTTTTTTTTCCCACTATTTTAGGAACGGTGTGACTTATTTACTGCTTAATATTCAAATTTTCCTTGAAGGGAATCATTTATTTTGTTCAAAGATGCAAATGTCAATGACCGAAGTAGGTGACAAGTATCTATGTCTATATCGCCATTAGAGATAGATGCTAGTTTTCCATGGGCAAGTTTGCTCTAATATTATAATGTACTTCTATTCTTACTTCAAGCCGCTGAACGGCAGATAGTCAAGAATAAAATATCACCACCAACACTTACAGTTAAAATTGACCATTGGCACAAAACTTCTATTTTCACATGGCCAAGGGCCTTGTATTAAAAAAGCATAGTGAATGAAAACTTGGATATTAAGTATTACATTAATAATATTAACATTAAACAAATACCATTCTTTTGCAGAAAATTTACCAAGTGTTTTTTATTTTATTACAGAGTACATTTAGTGTAGACCAATGTCTAATGCAATACACACAAACATCAGACTTAGAAACTATCAGAACAGATCTAAAAAATTATGGATCGAAGCTACAGCTACATATGTCAGAAATTTTAAAAAATGAAACTGAAGCGATTGCAAATTTAGCAGAATATTTAACAAATCTAAATTCAAAAATAGATGATTTGTCAGTACCTATTAGCCAGTTAAAAGAGGAAATAAGGGTAAGGCTATAGTAAATTTAATATTCTTTGGCTTGAGTGAGAAATTTTTTGTAGACATTGTACGAACTTATTAAAACTGCTACACATGGGTATGAAGAAATTTTGGGAAACATTAAGAATAATAATTCCAGGCAAAATCACATTTACCTAAAACTAGGCATAATAAATTCTTCCATTTACATAAATAGTGTCATTGGTACTATTGAAGCAAATCCAATTGAGAACCTACTTACCCTTGAAAGAATCGTTACCAAATATTCATTTCAAAAAATATACTTGGATGAATTACAATTGAGGACTCCAGATATTGAAAAAAATTTAAAAAATGTGGAAGGGAAACTAGTGTCAATTATCAATAACTGTTTCATAAAATCTTGCAAAGAACAAGATCAAGATATAATCCTTCGATGCTTAAGAATGTATATTGATTTACAAAAGCAAGAAGAGGCACATCAAACATTTCGAAAACATATTATAAGGCCTGCATTTCAGGTGTTATTTACTGAAAAATATTTAGAAGAATGTGGCTATGATTTGAATAAGATTTACATGGAAGTCAAGAAAATATTGGAAAAAAAAGTAGAACTATTGGATAGTGTAGTCAAAGTTAATATAGATTTAAATTCTTTTAACTTTGTTATTAATTCTTTCTGGAAAGAGTTTGACAAGCAATCTAGAGAAGGACTTCCTCATATAACGGCCCCTGGTAACCCAGAGCTGTTCCAAAAACGATTCACCCATACCTATAGTTTATTAAAGTACATAGCTGAGAAGGCGAATAATGAGAAGTTAATTAAAGATGATAGCTTCCAAAGCCATTTGAAAAGATTTAATCTTCCAGTATATTTTGAAATAAAATTTCAGCAGATTGCTGGAAATTTTGAGGGCGACACAATTAATATTACTTTCAATCAAATAGCAGCAAATAAAAATGATTTAGGCTTTAAATTGAAACCATCTGAAATACTTTGGAATTCTTTAACAACTTGCTTTAATGAAGATGTGTATATTGATCATTTGGCTAATCATTTTGTAAGACTTTCTATGATGTTGTTATGCAGGTATATTAAGCTACTTGAAAAACTTCTTGAAGATATTGTTGCTTCTGATACAAGCAAAGAAGACGTCAGTAATTTTATTGTAGATATTTTGATTGATTTAAGCATATTAGAATCTTTAATAGCTCCATCAGGCTTCAGTACCGTCAATGTTGGTAATACAATTTTTGCCATTGTAAATTCAAACATGTGGAATGTAATATTGAAAATGTTTGAATTAAATGCAAAATTAATATTGAATATTAGAAACAAATTTAAAAATCACATAATAACTTCAATCATAACGGAATGTATATCCCAGTTGCAAAATGTAACAGCCATTCCTAGATTATACAGAAGAACCAACCGAAGTCCACCAAAAGAAGCAAGTTCTTATATGGTTGAAGCAGTGAAACCAGTGTTGGGCTTTAAAAGCCAATTTAAGGGTTACCTGGATAATCAATTTAATGATATTGTCAACAGTATAATTCTGTCAATAACTAATCAGTAAGTATTTAGTAGGTTTGCAGAGCAAAATGAAAGAATGGAGTCCTTTATACTTCACAAAATTTGTTTGCATTAATTCCGAAGCGTTTCGGTTGTTAAACCATTGTCAAGGGAATAATGATATTCTATTATTACAAAATGTCTGAAAAGTTGTCTTAATCAAAGGCACATAGATAAAACTTACACATTAAAAAAAATTTCCGCCCAGTATTTACAAATCATAAGGGTTCACACAATTTAAATTTAACATCTGGTAGACGTGTAATTGTAAAGATATTGGTCAGTGGTTTTCAATATTTGTATTGTCTCCCTTCTTGAATATTAATATATCTTCACCCGAGCCTTCGCCGTTATACCAATATTGTGGAATCTCTCCTTTGTCAATTATTTTATGAAATAAAATCTTCAATATTTTTTCTATTTTTAATATAGACACTTCCTTTAGAGTATTTAAATTATTTCATAAATCGTCAATTGAGCGCGATTTTTGCTCTGATATTTTGAAAGCATCATTTGTCAGGTCTTTAGGACTGGTGAATTCAAAGTTGCTATGTAGTTATAATGAGAAAAAAACAAACAGTTAGAATGGCTCAGGTTCTTTTTCCATTCAAAATTTGATTCATTTGCTATGTTTATTTATAGGTATTTAACCTTGGCCCAAGAAGTGCTTATGTCTGTATGCAAAACTGAAGAATCATTAAGACGTTTAAAAAGTAGAACAATAAATACTAGCTCAGATGATTCATCACATGGAACTCCAGACACCATGTCAGATGAAACCAAAATTAGGGAGCAAATAAAATTCGATGTTGGTTATTTCTGTGATAAGGTGAGTGGTTTACACATTTTTTGTTTAGGATTTTTTTTTGTATAAAATTAGAGTAATAATTATTTGCAAATATTGTAGGTATTTGAATTCGCTTAAATTTTTGGGGGATTTTTAACCTATAAGGGAAATTAGAAAAAGTTTAATTATGGTTTCATGCTCTCTAGTATAGTACATTTATATGAAGCATGACGTACCTACAAAGACATATATAAACTCTATAATATCCGTCACGATCGTCACGTGATATTATTATGCTTGTAAGAAAAAACTGAAAAAAAAATAAAAGAGAAAAACTTCACCCAGAAAGTATCTATTTTAATCAATTAAACAGAATAGGTAAAGAAACAAGTATAAAGCACCCCTCCTTCGTTTACTACCAGGAAGCGAAGGGAAGTGTCATCCAAGTATTTTTTATATATTTCATCAGCCTGACAAACCTATCTGAACCCTAACCCAGAAATGCGGGTCACGTCATAATTCCTTGACAAACATAAATAAATAGTTGAGTCACCAGGGGTAGTAATCCCGTTTATTGAGGATAACTGCCAATGTCTAGGATTGTCAATATTAGGTGCGTGCTGGTAGCAAAATGCTCACATGCTGTTTGGCTATCTGTAGAATCTTTTATTTTAGCAAACAAGTTAGCTACTGTTTTGGTGGTAACATAAATATTTGGATGTTTTAGCTTTCGAATACTTTCCGAGTTTATTTATGTCTTTGTCACCTCATGCTTCATATAAATGTACAATACTAGCTTTGAAGATATAAAAAAACAATATCGAAATGTCGGTTTTCTTATGAAAAACTTTTTCAAGAATGCTGATTTTGACTATCATTCCATAACTATTATTTAACACATTTTATTTTTTAGCTGAATTCAATAGCAATGGCACCAGCGAAAGAAGCTATGCAATTGTTGAAAACGGAAGTTTACAAATAATTAATTCATTGGTGCATATGAAATTAATAAACATGATGTGATTATTATAATAAAATTACTGTAAAATACCTAAACGTTTGTAATATGTAGATACTCCTCTCTCATCTGTGTCCTATTTTATTTTGGTTGTTGTCATAAAAATCATACCTATTCATTTTCTTACGTTTTCTGAAATATTTCTGTTACAATCAATTTATCTTTTTACCCCAATTTTTTTCTTTAAAATTTTTTTTAGTCCAGTCAATTCAACAATAGTTCAATGACGAATCATTTAAAAATCGGAAGTCTTAATGTCTTAATGTAAGGTCCCTGACTGCACATTTCAGTGAATTAAAAAACATTGTGGTAGTTAATGATTAGGTATGACGTAATAGGGGTCACAGAAACATGGCTCACAAACTCTATTTCAGACAGGTTTATGACTTTCCAGGTTACAATTTTGTTAGAGTACAGCTAAGAGAAGGAGGTATTTGGGGCATACCTTAAAAATAATTTTAATTAAAAAAAAATTGATGTTTCCACCTCAATTGAGCAATTTTGGCTTCATCTCACAATAAGTAGGTAGGTAATCAGAAAGTGGGTACCTATAGGTATGTGGTTTATAGGCCTGCCAATTTTTCATATATTGATTTTCTGAATAGTTTTGAAACTTCATTGTCAGCAGTTTTTCAACTTCAATTTCAATTCAAATTTCAACATTAATTTGTTAGAGCTTGAAAGTACTGAGGCGAGATATGTATTGGAGGTTTTTGAGAGCGTAGGGCTTAAGCAGATTATTCAGGAACCGACAAGAGTGATAGCATACTATCGACGATTTGACGATTATATAACCTTTTCTTATCAAGATGATGGAAGAGGATATCGTATAGTCAGGAACCCCTCATGTGGGGGAGGAAAGTGATCATGATTTAGTGTTTTATATTGTTAATGTAAAAAAGCGTAACAAAGTAGCTAGAAATTTTTAAAATATTATTAAAACACAGATCGATGCAGATCTTAGAGCTATTCCATGGTGAAATATCTACTTACGACATACAGGGTTTGGATGAGAAAATACAATTTATTAACGATAATATAAATATTGGGGGTTGTATATAAGCCCAGTGGGTTGTATATGAAAGCGACACTGTTGGATACCGCCCTCCCTTATCTCATATGAAAATAATCGTTGTAAAATTTACTTTATCTGAATAAAGGCTATTTATTATTATTATTATTATTATTTTTATTGAAAAATTTTCTCATTCTTCCGAAAAGTGGTGTTACTTCTCCAAGATACGGACTGTGCCAAGCTTCACTTCAGAGTCTACCGCTTTAATTAAGGAATGATCTGGATATATTACACGTTTTGGATGACAGACTTTTGGATATTTGGTGTGAATGTGTGGGTTGAGCCCGAGCTGCTTGAGGTGCGATCGAACATGTCAGGTGTAATGCCTGTAGTGGATATGACGATGGTATGACCGTTATATTTTGTTTGTTTCCAGAGCCTCTGAACTTCTATGCCCAATTCTGTGTACCTACTTTAATATTTTTTCGTTATATTTGTTTTGAATGTTGGAATCATTGGGTATGGCTATGTCTTTGGGATACGTGATCTGTTCTTTTTTATTTTGGAAAACGATGTCTGGTCTATTGCATGTTATTGTTTTATCTGTGCGTATTTCTACATCCCAGTATAGTTTATATTCATTGGTATCTATGATCGTGTTCAAGGTATATTTATAAGCTTTTTTCCAAAACCCAGCAGGAAACCGTAATATTACCATCAGGATTCTGCGCAAAACCTAAAATTTTTCAGTAGAAACCAAAATTCGTATACAGAGTGGTTCCGAAACCGTTCTGGGACGGTTTTTTGACGGGTTGGAACAAACTTATATAGTATGGTGTTTTTTCTGTAATTAGTTTGTATGTTTTTGCGAGTGCCTGATGAATAATTGTTTCTGCCGCATGTAATGTCTCTTGGTGTAGTCTGTACCCACATAACAAAATTTTATTCTTAGAATGTATTAAGAATGTTCTTTTTTTTGGAGGAATGTGCCTAGAATGTTCGCCAAAATCATTGCGAATGTCCTGAGAATGTTCTGAGAAAAGATTGTAGAGATATACTGTTTGCAATACCCAAGAACTTCCTGGGAAATCCATTAGGATATTCCTAGAATATACCTATGAGATTCTCAGTACATCCTGAAAAGAATATTCCTGTTTGATTCTTGAAATATGCTCGAAATATATATTCTCACATTCAAAGAATGTTTCTATGACATTATAGTTATATTTTTAAAATAATATTATACCAGTATGCTTGAAATATTCTTAGAATATATCTACATTCTCAATATGCATCCTAAACATTCTTGTTTGATTCTAAGGATATACTTGGAATGTTAATTTTCGCGTCCGAATAATGCTCCTTTCGGCCCTTTTATATTAAAGGCAGTGAAAGAGTTGTTGGAAAACTTCTCTGGAAAACACAAGTATTTAACCAAAGCTCCGGTTTCGAGCTTGTTATGCTCTCGTCGAAGCACGCCAACTGAGAGAAACAGGTTCCAAGGTGATTCAAACGCGAGGCAAGATGTAGATCTTTAATAGCGTGTGGCTCCCTCTCTTGGAAGTCCTACAAAGCAAAAGAAAAAGAATATACCTATAATGTTCTTAGTAGGTTCTAGATAGAGCATTATTGTTTAATTGTTCAATTAAGATTTTTGAGCAGGTACTTATTTAGATAATTAGGTGAACAATATGAAAATATTCTTATCATGGTTACTTTACCTACATAAACATTTCAGCACAACTTGGTAGGTATATTCTTAATACTTGATAGAGATATTAGCCGAAAGAACATTTTTTAGGGTACATTATAATAATGTTCGTATGACAATATTCAAATAATGTTATATAAAGTAGGTTCTTAGCACAATCTTTCAGGTAGGTGCATAGAAGCAACATTCCTAAAACATAAATAGAACGTTCAAAAATGAATATTTCAATCGAAACATTCTTAGGATATTCATTAAACATTCCTAAAAGAACATTCCAAAAAGCACTTTGAGGGAATATTCTGAGAATATGAATGTTCTTTCACTGTTATGTGGGTACCTGCTAAAATTTTGCACCCACTGGTAATATGGTATGTATGTTAGAGTCTTTTATAATATACTTTTGGTAGTTTAATGTGGCTATTACTTGATCTTGAATTGCAAGGAGAAATCCCTCAGTTCTATAAATACAAACTATAAGTACCTATATAAAAGTGAAATTACATTTCTAAAAATAATGAACTCAAAATTTTAATTTTTTAACACTAATTTTAGGTTCGATTAGGGCAAGTTACTTTTTAAAAAACAAACTTTTAAAAGCAGGGACTTTATTACTCGAAATACAAATGAATAAAGACGAATTTTCATCCGTTACAATGGCTTAAATAAAATGGTATAAATGTAAAGTCAGCAGTAATAATCGTGTGGGTCGCTCGAAGTCGGATTGTTGTTACGGTTCTCATCCATAAGAGGCCATGTATAGAGTGTACATAACTCCTCCGCCCTTAGTGTAAAATTCTGGGGTTAGGGCCAGAATTTGGCAATGGTTGGCTGGGGGATTCTTCTTCGGGTTCTTCTTTCTTCTTTCTTGAGTTTCTTGAAAATATCTTATCCTTGTAAAGCTTAAAAAGGACAAAGATAATAATTATTACAAAAATTATTAGATAAGTTATTATTGTCCAGCCATTAATAGTATTGAAGTTGATTGCTTGTTCTTCGATTTGGTTGATCTTCTTTTCTTCGATTTCTAATGCGTTCTTGACTGAATTGATTTCATTTAAGTTTATATCATCTAATTTGATAGGTTTGATATTAGTGACAATTTTATCTTTTAATAATTCAAAATTTAATTTGGGAAAGTTAATATTTTTGAATTGACGTTTAATACTATTAAGGTTTCTCAAATAAATGTTATTTATTTCGATTTCACAATTAGGAGGGAGTTCAATTAGATATGTTCCTTTTAAGGGTATCTTCTCGTTCTGGTTGTCGCATTTTTGAGCTGCCACAGTATGTTCTGGACTCAGTACTATCCATTGGTTGGCTTCAATCTTCTGAATTTTCAGTTGGTTGACTTTTACAGGAACCAGGTGGCAATTTGACAAGTTTTGGGAGAATTTTAGTAACTGGGTTTCACATGGTGAATCCTCTGTAGTTTTAGTGGGATCCATTTCGTGACAGATAAATTCTTCAGGAATGATTTCGATGCATGGTTTATCAGAGAAATAATGATTTTGCTCATTGATAATCAAATATTTGTTGTTTGGAATTATTAATTTAAAAGAATCATTTTTGTCAATAGGCAGTGCATATAAATGATAGTAATTATAGTTTTCTTTTTCAACTATCGGTATCTTAACTATAAATATTATTTGATTACCTTTTCCGTAGCTTTTGATTTCTAGTATTCTTTCAAACAATAACAAATTCTCGATTTTTGGTTCGAATGGTAACTTATTATCGTCCAGGTGAATAGAAATTGATTTTATTTCATTTATCAATTCGTTGGAGTTAATTATTGAATTATGGAAGGTATTTATTTTGGAGAAGGTAATGGCAGTTTCAATTTTTTCTAAGATATCATAGATAGTTTGAAATTCGGTCGCTATTTGAGAAATTATCATTTCGATATAAAAGAAGTAGAAATTATTCGCATCTTCTTTTTTTCTTGTGTTTAAAACCGTTTCGATTTCTTCAACACGTTTATCCAATATTTTTTGATTTTTAGTTAAATTTTGGATATTCTCTTGAAATATTTGGATTGACTTTTGAAATAGTGTGATTTGATCTTTTACTAAGGTTTTAATTTTCATTTGATTCCCTGATAGAGTATCAATAGCTGTTTCATATTTTTTAGCATCGTTTTGGTCTAAGTTACCTGTGATTGATTTTATTATTGATCCTAAACCGTCAATAAGTCCTCGTTTTTGTCTAGGTTTTAGTACGGGGTTTAGTGTCATAATTTGTGTCATTATTTTGGTTTTAAAAGATAGCATTAAATTATGAGAATTTTCGAAAATGTGTCTATATTTCTTAACTAATGTGGTGTCATTATCAAAAGCTCTTTCGAT